TATAAAAGGAAGATTAGAGAGGAAAATCTCATTAATCTCTGGCTGCGGTCAGAAAAAAATACGAAGGAATTGTTTTCATTTTAAAAAAACATTTATTTACTTTCGGGTAAAAAATAGCCCCTTGAACCATGGTGTAATCCTGTATGCATTTGTTGGAGAAGAAGTCATTATCCTCAATAAATATACATACATTAAAAATAAATAAACAAGAAAAGAAGTAATCCACGGAAATTTGAAAACAATTGTTAAGTTTTTAGGGTACTGCAATACTTGCTTAAATAAAAGTAAACTTCTAAATCCTCTTTTTTCAGACTAGAGCAGACTTTACAGGTAACATTTTGCTTGGATTTTAGGCAAAATATCTGAACTGTAGATCTATAGCTCAACAATATAAGAAAGGGGTTGGCTTCTATTTTGCTGTACCTGTTCAAACAGTCACTCGCCGGAACATTTTAATTTATCCCGCATTGAGCGAGATAAGGACATGCACAGATTTCCAGAGAAATGACATCTAACAGCTAATAGTTTGGCATAATAATGAAAAGGTTAATGAAATACAGGACTTCAACATATTTGCACCAAAAAGGTCTTTAAGTATTCTGTGCTCATTTAACCTGTAGTCTGAACATCTGCAAAAAAAATTTTTTTTGGTTTCGTTTCCAGAACCTTTGACGTTGATTTGTATATCCTGTCTGAGAAATAGTCACATTTCTCTTTATATTTCTCAGTTGACAGAATCTTGGGAAACAGATCTAAAGTGAAGGGCAAACCCCATGTGAGCCACATGATCTTCATATGATCGGCCTCCGTTTAGAGTAACCCTCCTTTGTTTGTTCTCGGCTAATAACTCTTAATTCAGAGATGAGCAAACCTGGATTTGGGATTTGCATTTATCAGTAAGCTAACTATGGAGCAAGAGCTGATTCAGTCTAGCCAGTTAAGCAAATACTTGTCTTTGCACGACAAAAGGCGCATTTGCGTTGCTATTTACCTCCGTATCTTTCTTGGCAGCTGCTTCTAACTTATATTGGGCCATTTTATCATTGACTCACTTTGTAGAGGAGTTCATTTTGATCCAGAGAAGAGCAAGAAAGATGATTAAGGGACTAGAGGCTAAAAATATGATGAAGAACGCTTGCAGGAATTGGGTATGTCTAGTTTAATGAAAAGAAGGACAGGAGTGTTCCAATATTTGAGGGGTTGCCACAAAGAAGTGGGGGGGGGTCTATTCTCCAAAGAACCTGAAGGCAGGAGAAGAAGCAATGGATGGAAAGTAATCAAGGAGAGAAGCAACCTAGAACTTAGGAGACATTTCCTGACAGTGAGGAAATGAATCCGTGCAGTGGTGGGTTCCTCCCGGTTCGGCCGGTTCTCCCGAGCCGGTAGCGGTGACGATATGACGTCACTGAACCGGTTCTGCCCCCCCAGCTGGTCTTCAGGTCTCTGCTGCACATGCGCAGGGAGTGGGGCATTTGCAGGGGGGCCACCTGCACATGTGCGGGGGGGTGGACACATGCACAGGGGATGCATGTGCATTGCATTTTGGGGGTTTAGGCACATTTGTGCGTGTGCGCTTTGGGCACTCGGTCTGGAAAAGGTTAGTCATCATTGTTATAGGCAATCCTCGACTTATAAACATTTGTTTAGTGACTATTGGAAATTATAACGGCACTGAAAAAAAGTGACTTATGACCATTTTTCACACTTACAACAGTTGAAGCCTCTCCGTGGTCACATGATCAAAATTCGGAAGCTCGGCAACTGGCATGTATTTATGGAACGTTTAAGCGTCCTGGGTCGATTGATTACCTTAAGTGCCTTTTTTTTTGTTTTCATCTTCAGAAACAATGTAAATTGGGCTGCCATGGCTCAGTGGCTAAGACGCTGAACTTGTAGATCAAAAGGTTGGCAGTTCAGCGGTTCGAATCCCTAGTGCCTTGTAACGGGGTGAGCTCCTGTGACTTGTCCCAGCTTCTGCCAACTTAGCAGTTCGAAAGCACATAAAAAATGCAAGTAGAAAAATAGGGACCACCTTTGGTGGGAAGGTAACAGCATTCCGTGCACCTTTGGCGTTGAGTCATGGCGGCCACATGGCCACGGAGACGTCTTTGGACAGCGCTGGCTCTTCGGCTTTAAAACAGAGATGAGCACCGCCCCCTAGAGTCAGGAACGACTAACACATATGTGTGAGGGGAACCTTTACCTTTACCTTTATCGCTCCAACTCAATTAGCAATATATGTTTTGTGAATTTTTACGAGTGGGGCACATTTGTCTAATTGCTCTCGCGTGGCTACTGAGGATGAAAATGAACTTTCTGCTTGTTTTTCTGCCGAAGCGGTTTGAGGTTGAGAACAAATGTCCATTGAGCCTTGGAACTTCCTTGTTTAATGGAAGGGAAGTCGGCCGTTTCTGATCTACCCTGGAGGGTGAAACCTTCTTGTGCTTTTAGACTTATGATTTGCCAGTGACAAGCAGCAGTTGGGCAGCTGGGAAAAAAAGTGGATTACTATTTCAAGCTTGCTTGTTTCTTAATACCGTCGCTTTCAAAGTGGAACGGTTTTGCCGTTCATGTGATGATCACCCATTTCCAAGAATAAGCGGAAGTGTAGCTCCGATTGGTTACATTAGTTGTTGTTGTTGTTGTTGAATTGTAAGCATGTTAGAAAAAATAGAACACTTGAGTGTGAAAAACAATGCAGGATAAAGGAAGCTTGATATGTCATTGTGGCCAGATGCAAGGAGGTCAATAAATCCTTAAAACACCGTTGCAAACCCACCGTTGGAAGCACATTGTAGGTCATAATAATTTAATATTTCGTGTCTTGTTGCTACAGAAGAGATAATGAGATGCTGTCTAGACAGTGGATTGCTTTTAGGATTGGCAAGTTGGTGCGACCTGAATGGGCAAAGTTGTGATTTTCAGTTACAAAAGCGGTTGATTTTTATTTCACAACTTCACTGTTTCCTCCAGGTTAGACGGAAGTGAAAAATGTCCACTGCCGTTTTGTGTGTGTGTGTGTGTGTGAAAAAGATGAACAGCCTCTTCCCCAAATAATTTACCGTATTTTTCGGAGTATAAGACACACCTTTTTCCCCCCTAAAAGAGGGTGAAAATTTAGGTGCGTCTTATACACCGAATGTAGCCTCGCCCACCCACTGGCCCCCACCCTTTGGCCTCTGCCTTGCAGCAGTTACCTCCTTGCAAGCAAACAGAAAAAAAAAAACCAGCTCCTTTCAGCTTCAGCACAGCCTAATTAGCACAAGTTGATTGGATCGGCCTCCTGACTCTCAGTTGTTTTGCTCTCAGCTGTTTTGCTCAGGGCTCTGCTTCTTCTTGCAAAGAGGTAAATTGCTGGAGCAGATTTTTTTTTTCCTTGTGCTAATCAAGCTATACTGAAAACGAAAATGAAAGTAAAGCAGGCTGTTTGCTGCAAGGAGGAAAAATTGATGGGAGGCAGAGACAGATTTCTTTTTCTTCTTTTCCTCACCAAAAAAGGTAGGTGCGTCTTATAGTCCGGTGCGTTTTATACTCCAAAAAATACAGTAATTTTAAAACAGGAGGTTTGTTTTAGATTCATCAAGAGGATGATAATAGAAGCAAACAAGATTCTTTTTTTTGTCTAATTTCCTTTGGGAAGCAAGTGGGAGGAATTAAATGAAGATTCTCTTACCCTTAGCAAAATATAGCAATGCTGATGTGAACCGAATGGAGCCTCTTTGGAACCTCTCTCTGAATGGAGACATTCCTGTCTCGTAGGAGTTCAGGTAGTCCTCGACTTACGACCACAATTGAGCTCAACATTTATTATATCAAATGAGACGGTTGTTAAGTGAGGTTTGCCCCATTTTACGACCTTTCTTGCCGCCGTTGTTAACTGAATCACTGCAGTTGTTAAGTTAGTCACAAGGTTGTTAAGTGAATCTGGGCTTCCCCATTGACTTCGCTTGTCAGAAAGTCGCAACAGGGGATAACGTGACCCTGGGACACCGCAACCGTCGTAAATATGAGTCAGTAGCCTGAATTTTGATCACCTGATCCTGGAGATGCTGCCATGGTTGTAAGTGTGAAAAACGGTCATAAGTCACTTTTGTACAGTGCCGTTGTAACTTTTGAACGGTCACTAAACGAACTGCTGTAAGTCAAGGACTACCTGTTCTGTCGTTCTCATCCTTGGGTTTTCAGGTTTTATTCAACTGCCACTCCCATGTGCTTGGCCATACCAGCTGGGAAGGATGGTCCAGCCTGTCCATCAGGCAAATATTTGTCAGAATGTGTTGGGCAATCTTTGACGGCAAAATGCGGTCAGTTTATTAAAAGAGAAATATAATGAAGATACTCACAAGAAGTACCATATTTTTCGGAGTATAAGACGTACCTTTCCCCCCCCCCAAAAAAGGGTGAAAATCTGGGTGCGTTTTATACTCTGAATGTAGCCCCGCCCAGCTTCTCAAACGGAGGTTTCAGAGGCTGAAAAAAGCATCAGAAACGAAGCGTCAACTTGCAAAGCTTTCAAGTTGCCATGAGCAGGAGGGAGGGAGAACTGATAGAGCTGATTGATTTCCCTAACTGAAGTGCATTCCATACATTCTTCCTGACCGCAATCAGGAGGAGGGTGTTGGATTTCACAGCCAGCCAAAGTGGTTAATTGGAGAATGTGATTTATGACATGGCCAGAGAGGAGGGGAGAGATGGGGTCATACGGGAACGTAAATCTATGTAGGATCAGTCCTAACTGCATCCGAATATTGTCGAAATGGTGCTCCTAATAAATGACTGTATTTCTTTTGAAGTTCGACTCATGGCTCATGAATTAATTAGGGCATCTTTCGGAAACTTCACACGAAGCTTCAGAAAAGACGCCCCCAAACAGAGCTTCAGAAAAAAAAACTCTACTCTGTTTTGGCTTCTTGCACCCCTGACAGTCTTCAGTTGTACTTGCCAAGGGTCACGACCGCTAAGGAATCACTTTTTGGTCCTCTCTCATGTCTGTTTTGCAGATCATTGTAGATGACGACGACAGTAAGATCTGGTCGCTCTACGACGCAGGACCCAGGAACATCCGATGCCCCCTCATATTTCTCCCACCCGTCAGCGGAACGGCGGACGTCTTCTTCCAACAGATTCTAGCCCTCTCTGGATGGGGCTACAGAGTCATTGCTGTGAGTGTCTTCGGACCATCCTGCGTTTCGTTTCTTGAACTTGCCTTCAAGGCAGGGGTAGAGGCTTGGAAGTGATGCCTCTCCTCCAAGTTTATCAGCTGAAAATAGTTCGAAGTTGCAATTGAATTTCTGTAATGGTACACTGCATCTTTTCCTCTGTTTTTCTTTTCTTTTTTTTAACATTTTAGCTACAGTATCCAGTTTATTGGGAGATCTTTGAATTCTGCGATGGATTCCGGAAGCTATTAGATCATCTACAACTGGATAAAGTTAGTGCTTACAATAAAATGTTAGGTAAAAAGCCTAGAGTTTATTCATGTTCATTGGCTCAACCGAGAGAGAAGCTCCTTAGTCCGTACTGAGTCACTAGTAGATTAATTTTAGGCGTTTGTTTCCTTACAAGATTTCTAAACAGCCCCTGGCTAGGTGACGTACAGAGTCAGACACAAATATTAAGAACAGTAGGATCGAAAGCAATAAAAAATATTTAATAATAATAATAATAATAATAATAATAATAATAATAATAATAATAATAATAATAATAATAATAATTTTATAACGGCCTTCTCCCGAAGGACTCGGGGTGGTGTACAGCCTATTAAAACAAAAAATATACAAATATCCAAATTTAAAATTATTAAAAATATTACACAATTTTGGCCCAGATTAAAACTTCCAATTTCAAACTCCCAATTTATAATAATTACATAGTTAGCCCTGCCTGGCGAAACAGTAGGGTCTTAAGGGCACAGCGAAACACACGGAGGTCGGAGATCTTGCGTATTTCCGGGGGCAGTTCGTTCCAAAGGGCAGGAGCTCCCACAGAGAAGGCCCTCCCCCTGGGTGTCACCAGCCGACATTGCTTGGCCGATGGCACCCTGAGGAGACCCTCTCTGTGGGAGCGAACTGGCCGGTGGGAGGCTATTGGTGGCAGAAGTGGTCTCGCAAGTACCCGGGTCCTAGGCCATGGAGCGCTTTAAAGGTAGTAACCAACACCTTGAATTGCACCCGGAAGACCACTGGGAGCCAGTGCAGCTCGTGCAGGAGAGGTGTCACATGGGCGCAACGAAAGAAAACTGATGTTGTTTGAAAAAAAGAAGTGGAACGCCTTGGAATACTTGTTCTGTCTTTCTTGTAACAGACTTAAAACCAAAGACACGTTTTATAGGGGTATGAAAACAGACACTTGCTTTCAATAGTATTTCAAGCCCAAAACAGAGCATTCCTCACCTAAAGCAGAACTATTTTGAGTGGCAAACATATCCCAAATACTGCAGCCGCCTGCCTTGTATTTGAAACGGGGTTTTAAATTTAAGATGCTTTCATTCAAAACATTTTACCTGCCAAGTGGTGGGTTTCAGTTTTTTTTACTAGCGGTTCTGTGGGTGTGGCTTGGTGGGTATGGCATGGCTTGGTGGGCGTGGCTTGGATGTGGCAGGGGAAGGATACTGTAAAATCTCCATTCCCTCCCCAATCCAGGGAAAGGTTACTGCAAAATCCCCATTTCCTCCCGATCAGCTGGGACTCGGGAGGCAGAGAATAGATGGGGGCAGGGCCAGTCAGAATTTTTACTACCGGTTCTCCAAACTACTCAAAAGTTCCGCTACCGGTTCTCCAGAACTGGTCAGAACCTGCTGAAACCCACCTCTGTACCTGCCCTTAAATTGCATAGTGGTTTCACATAGCTTCTGAACTGATGCTTGCATCAATGATTTTTTTTTTTTTTTAAGAAAAGCGTACATCAACTTAAAAGGGCATTTATGTAAAATCCAGGGTTCACTGATAAAAAGGAATATATTTTAACCAAGCAGAAGTTGTTTCATTTCCGGGAGGACCATTCCATCAGATCTTAACTGATAAAACTTCAGAAAATACGAATGGAATGGGAAGAAGCGTTTTTATTGGAAACGGTTCATTTCTGCAGATGGGAGCAAGCCAATAGGAGATGGCAAAGATTATAGAATGAAAATGAGAGATTAATTGGAAAGACCATTGCCTGACCCTTTAATCTGATCACTGAATTTGCTGTACATTGGGGGGGGGGGGGGTGTTCCCATCTTAGCCACTTTAAGATTTGTGGACTTCAACTCCCAGCATGGCTGGCTGGGGAATTCTGGAATTCTGGGAGTTGAAGTTCCCAAGTCTTTAAAGTGGCCAGAGTTGGAGATCCCTGCTGTAAATGGTTTTTTGCTTGCCTCTTGGTCTGCCAGTAGGTAGAAAAGGATCTAATTTCCCAAAGGCTTGGAAACAGTAAAATGCGTTCGATAAAAAGAAAAATAATCAAGAGTATTCTTCTTTCATTGTTTTTAATCTTAGGTTCACCTTTTTGGTGCTTCATTAGGAGGTTTCCTTGCTCAGAAATTTGCCGAGTACACGCACAAATCGCCCCGGGTCCAATCTTTGATTCTGTGCAACTCTTTCAGCGATACCTCGATTTTCAATCAGACGTGGACAGCGAATAGGTGAGACGCCAGTCAATAAATCCGCATTTGCCTTTTTTTTTTTTTTTTAAAGAGACAAACCCAGTTAGGCAATTGTCAGAACATCCCAGCTGTGAAATTTGGAGCTAGGCCAAATGAGGGCGAGAGTCTCTTGGTGGAAGTAGGAAAGGCGGGTGGAAGCTCAGATGTGATGTTACTACTAAGGGTTCAGATGCTGTTCCTTTTCTTCCAGGGGTTTTTGAGTTTGAAGCATTTTGTGTACTTGTCCATCTCTCCAGTGGTGAAATCCAAATGTTTTTACTACCGGTTCTGTGAGTGGTGTGTGGTTTGGTGGGTGCTGCTTGTGGGCATGGCAGGGGAAGGATCCTGCAAAATCTCCATTCCCACCCCACTCCTGGGGGAAGGATCCTGCAAAATCCCCATTCCCTCCCCACTCCTGGGAGAAGGATATTGCCAAATCCCCATTCCCACCCTACTCTGGGGCCAGCCAGAGGTGGTGTTTGCCGGTTCTCCGAACTGCTCAAAATTTCCGCTACCGGTTCTCCAGAACCTGTCAGAACCTACTAGATTTCACCCCTGCATCTCTCCCATTGGGAGACGGTTCTAGGTTGTGTGCTCACTTTTGAAGGCAGAACCTTTGTTTGGGATCCACGTTCCTTGTTTTGGAATAGACCTTCACTTTCTCCAGCTCACAAAAGCAGATTTTTGGGATGGCTTCTGTTCTTCGGGAGAGCTGAGGGCCATCATGGTGAATTGGAGGGGATCTACTCTACAAGCCACATCCATAGATTCTGGTGTCCTGGAGTTTGGTTTGTGGAGTTTGGTTTTGATGGTTTTGTTGTGGCCCGCCAGTGGCCAGCAGAGCTGGTAGCAGATTCGGACAGTGAGGAGGTCGGGGAGGAACATGGGCCAGTCCTGGAGTCTGGGGAAGGTTCTGATGAGGGCTCTGCGTCGGAGGCAGAGAGGGGGACAGAGCCATATGCCAGTTATCAGCTGCCTTTAAAATTCGAAGTTACGGAGTAAAAAAGCTTTGTTACCCAACATTAAGTATGGTAGTCATTAACACTTGAAATGGCCAATACTAGCCTAAACTCTAGCAACCTTCTATGTAGGATGCCTTTGTCTACAATAATGGATAGGATAATTTAATAGTCATCTGGGAATTGTTAGAAGATGGACAGATCAGCCTTACTAGCACTGTGAAATCAGGTAAGTAGAGGCTGTGTGCAAAGAAATTCTTTTAATGTGTAACTTGATAGTGCAGGGCTTCTCCTGAACTTGGTGCCCTAACTTACCTTTATATTCCTCTCTCTTTCCAGCTTCTGGTTGTTGCCTGCCTTCATGTTGAAGAAAATCGTCCTTGGGAATTTTGCCTCTGGTCCCGTAGATCCTGAAATGGCTGACGGAATTGATTTCATGGTGGATAGGGTAAAGATCCATAACGGTCAAGTTGGTTGCTTGATGGTGTTCTGAAGTTTGTCCAGGAAATAGCAAAATACTGGGTGTTTTGAATTGTCTTTTCTTTTCCTTTTTTCTGTTCAGTGAGGTGTGTGTGTGTGTGTGTGTGTGTGCGCGCGCACGCAGGTAGTCCTCAACTTACAACAGTTCTATCAAGGTTCCTACTGATGGAACCCAACCCAACAAGTACTATCGAAACGATCCGATCTCTTAATGCAAAACTTCATTGAGTACATCATTTTGACACAGAATGAAAGGAAAACCAACTCTGGCTAATTCCCGCGCAATTCAATATATAAGATGCACTGGAGTATAAGACGCACCTTAGTTTTTGGGGAGGGAAATAAGAAAAAAGCTGATTGGCAGGTGGATCGGCCTCCCGGAATACCCCCAATCAGCTGTTCCCAGAGGTGAATTTTAGCAACAGGTTCGTTGGTTGTGAGCTCTGTGCCTTGCTTTTTTTTCTGCCTCTGAAACTTCTGAAACACAGCTTTAGAAAAAAGCCTCTCAAGTTCTGTTTCAGAGGCTTTTTTTCTGAAGCTTCTTTCAGAGGCTTTTTTTCTGAAGCTCTGTTTGGAGACTTTTTTTCTGAAGCTCTGTTTCAGAGGCTTTTTTCTGAAGCTTCGTTTCTGAGGCTTTTTTTCTGAAGCTTCTTTCAGAGGCTTTTTTCTGAAGCTGTTTGGGGGCTTTTTTTTTGAAGCTCTGTATCAGAGGCTTTTTTCTGAAGCTTTGTTTCTGAGACTTTTTTTCTGAAGCTTCTTTCAGAGGCTTTTTTCAGCCTCTGAAATCTCTGTGTGAGAGGCTGGGTTGGGCTACATTTGGAGTATAAGACGCACCCAGATTTTCACTCTCTTGTTTGGTCTTATACTCCCAAAAATACGGTAATTAAAGTATAGAGTCCTCCCTCCCTCCAATTAGTGCAGGTCACATTGTCCAATTAAGTGTCAAAGTATGGTGAGAAGATGTCTGGAAGCTCTGGCAAACGCCTGCTGAAGTGACCTTGGTTCTCAGGGCTAAGTGCTTGATGGTTACAATCCAATTCCCCTTTCCCTCGCCCCCATAATTTGTTGGCAAGCTGAGAAGCAATAAAAATGAAAGCAGCATGAGTAAGTTTCAAATCTTGACAAATTCATTTAATGACCGTTTTGACGTTACAACAGCACTGGAAAAAAGTGACTTATTGTTGTGGCCCATCAGCAGCCTTTGCAGCTAGTAGCTGATTCCAACAGCGAGGAGGCTGGTGTGGTGCTGCACCAGCAGCCTGTGCAGCTGGCACTCGAGTCGGACAATGAGGAGGCTGGAGAAGATGTGGTGCCAGAGGCAGGGATTGAGCCAGGGCCTTCAGAACCTCCAGAAGCTCCTATAAGTGAAGAGGAAGAAGAGGAGGAGCCTCTTCTCAATGCACAGGCATGCAGAGCTGCCAAAAGGCAGGAGTGGCTCCTCAGGAGGAGGTCTCCCCGAGAGTAAGGCCTGGGGCTAATTGGCTACTCCCTTAGCCTATTTAAGGAAGGACAACGACTGAGGCAATTTGCAGGGAACAACTTCAGTTCACTCTCCTTCACGTCTGGATCTTAGTTCTCTTATCAGTTTCCTGCAAATTGCTTCTGGGCTTTCTGCCAACCATAGTAAGATTACGATTATTTATTCTTTGGATTCTTGTAGGCTGTTAAGAAAGTTAATTAACAGCCTTTGTTTGAAAAAGACTGATTTAATTTAGTAAACTAAGGTTTGTACAGACTTTGTGTGTGCTGCGTTCTTTGGGGTCCGTAGCTGGGGCAGAACACTTATTGACCATTTTTCATAACTTAACCACCATAGCAGCTTCCCCATAGTTACATGATCAGAATCCAGATGCTTGGCCACTGGCTCATATATATGAGGGTTGCAGGTGTCCTGGGATCAGGTGATCACTTTTTTTTTTGTGACCTTCTGACAAACAAAGTCCATGGAGAAGCCAGATTCACTCAACAACCATGTTACTATCTTAATTGCTTCAGTGATTCATTTAACAACCGTGGCAAGAAAGATCGTAAAATGGGGCAAAACTCACTTAACAGAGTTTTCTCACAGAGCAATAGAAATGTTGGGCTCGATTGTGGGCATAAATCGAGGACTACATGTATCCAGGGATGGGCTTCAAAAATTTTAATAAGGGGTTCTTGTGCCCGGTTGCTGGGTGGGTGTGGCCATGGTGGGTGTGGCCTAATCGGCCTCTTGCACCACAGTGGGGGGGGATTTTTGCCCTCCCCGGGCTCTGGAGACTTTTTCCGAGCCTCCGGGAGGATGAAAACAGCCTCCCCAGGCTCCGGAGGCCCTCTTCCCGAACTTCCAGTAGGCTTTCGCCCTCACTTAGCCTCCGTGCATGCCCTGCAATTACCTGCATCCAAAACAGGCCGTGTGGGGACTCCTGGGAGGGGAGGGGTGGGGTGGGCGGGGCCAGCTAGGGGGATTTGGGGGTTCTTCGAACTGCACAGAATCTTAGCTAGAGGTTCTCCCGAAGCCCTGCGAACCCCCAGCAGCCCCACCCCTGCCTGTATGTATGTACTAGGAGACCTCCAAGATCCCTTCCAACTTTTGTATTCTGTATTCTATTTCTTGGTCACCAGATTTCAGACCCAAATTGACAGGGTGTTTTTTTTTTTTATTTTTAAACGTCTGACAGCTGGAAAGTTTGGGCCAGAGCGAACTGGCTTCAAGACTGACTCTCAATTGCCAGAATTCCTACGTTGAACCTCATAAGATCCGAGATGTCCCCGTCACCATCATGGACGTGAGCAATCTTGGGCATATTCCTATAGCCGATAAGGATGAGATGAAACTGGTTTGGCTGGTTGTTGATTTGTGGGAGTCTCCAATCCAGGAGGACCTGTGTCTATGGTGGTTACGCCGGCACCGTTTCCACCATGCCTTGGGACCTTCTGGAATAAAAGGAGAGACCTACTGCTTCAGGGAAAGACCCTGGGCTCCATGATAAGGGGTGGCAAAACTCAGGCTGATGCTGTTTTTGACTTTTAGGTATTTGATCAGAGTGCCCTGTCTACAGAAGCCAAGGAAGAGATGTATAAATTGTATCCCAACGCCAGGAGAGCTCATCTGAAAACAGGAGGAAATTTTCCGTATCTTTGCAGAAGCGCTGAAGTAAACCTTTATATCCAAGTAAGTCCTGCTTATTCATTCGTTCGTTCGTTCGCCCATCCATCCATCCATCCAATTTACTGTATTTTTTGCTCCATAAGACATACTTTTTTGTCTCCCAAAAATGGGTGAAAATGCCTGTGCGTCTTATGGAGTGAATATTGCCGAAGCCCCGCCAATCCGCCGGCCCCCACCTGCCAGCCGTTTTTGCGTTTTTAGCCTTTATGTGTCCTGTTTTTGACCTCTGCGCATCTCATTTTTGGCCTCTGTGCGCCCCGGGATGTGTGGAAGCCAAAAATGGGGTGCACGGAGATCAAAAATGGGACATGTGAAAGCCGAAAACGGGACATGCGGAGGCCAAAAACGGGAGTGCGTCTTATGGTCAGATGCGTCATACGGAGCAAAAAATACAATGTATGCCGCCCATCTCGCAGTTTAGGCAACTGCAACTTTTTCCTCCCTCATGGGTGACAGTAGAGTCAATGTCAATGTTTTATGGTTTAGAGGGGGAAAAAAGGAATGCATAGATTCTACTTCTGTCCATCTGTCCTATAGATACACTTGCTTCAGTTCCATGGGACCAGATATGCTGCCATTGACCCCTCCATGATCAGCGCAGAAGAACTAGAAGTCCAGAAAGCCAACCTCCAATCTAGCAACGAACAAGAACAAGCATCGTAATTGGACGATTGGCCGTTCTTTCATCTGGAGGGCCTCACCTCTTTCCTTGTTGGCAGATGTCCTACCCAATCACATCTGACCACCTTCTTGTCTTTCTCTTTTCCCACTAAACTGGTTAGAATGGTGTCCTTAAACTCAGCTGGATGGATTTCATTACCTGAAATAAGGCTACGGACGCTCGCTCCCATTTCTGTTTCACAAGCTAAGTTTGGATAATAAAAGTTAAGGATGCAACTTTGGAAGACTTGTTTAAAACAAAAAACAAAACAAATGCAACTCTCAGAGACAAACTTTTGGTACCAAAGCCTTCATTACTGTGCTCTTACCGAGAATAAATCTTTTTAATATATATATATATACAAATCTATATCTCCATGCAGAGAGGGGCTACTATGAACAAATTACAGATGCCTGTAAGGTCATTTATAATTTGAATATTTAGTTTTAAACTATGTTGGAAGTGTCAATGTTGCTGTTACGTTTCTTTATATACTGTTGCCGCTTAATGACTTGAAATCAAAGGGGTTTTTTTGTAAAATTAATTTGCTATCGTACTTTGTTTTTGAATAAAATTTTAACTGGCCATGGGAAGGGCCCCAGTTATTTTGCTATTAAGAATTTGCAAGGTAATAGCTTTGCTTCATCTTTAAGATTTGGAGTTTGTAATATCCTGCCTGATCTGGAGCCTTCCAGTTAGATTAGAATTTTGCAAATTTTACAAATACAGAATTTCCAATTGTGCTCTTCATAATTCCAGGAGATTAAAATTCATTGAAAGTTGGAGATGGGTTATTGAGACCTGAAATGATTCAGGTTTTCCACGAAGTGACAGTTTTCAAGTTTTCAGGAACTACAAACAAAAACGTAAGAGGGGGGAAAAAAACCATTTATTTGAAAACCAGATGTTTCGACATTGCTTTAAAAATACAAAAACCTTAAGGACAAATTTAAGAAAAGTGTACTGTCCTGTAGATAAAACACTGTCGTATCAGCACTGGTGAGAACACTGTTTTGAAGTTGAAAGTGCATATTTGTACAGCTGGAAACGGGTGTGTGTGTGTGTGTGTGTGTGTGTGTGTATCCTGGGGCCCAGAGTCCTCTTCAGGATTTTGGGATCAGGGCAAACAACGATGGAGGCTGGAGACTGTCCCAAGCTTCTCCCCTGCAATTGGTATCATCCATCACCTGGACCGAAGTGACTTCAAAGGGCAGGAAGTGACAAAGAACAACTTCCTTTCGGCAGAGACGAGTAACCAATGCCCAAAGAAAGTGTGTAATGCACCTCCAGGCACCAATCTTAGAGCTGTATCCTCTCACCCACTGCCTTTCTGGCAGATCACAGCGTAGGCAGGCTGGTGTGTAAATCTCTTCCTCAAAGGGAAATGTCCCAAGTGTTGTGGCCCCGCCCTCTGAGCCTGTCCCATTGGAGGAAGAAAGCTCCGAGCATGAGGAAGAGGAGTCAGCCAGGCCTCCCTCTCCAGGCCCCTCCCCTCTGGCACTGTCTCAGGTGCCGGCCGAGGGAGAGGAGATTAGCAGGGAGACAGGTGGCTCGGATGAGAGCGAAGGAGAAACATCATTCTTGGACGCACGCCTCCGAAGGCGTGATAAACGATTGCAGCAGCTCAGGAGGCGTGCTAGGGATTAGAACTGAGTCACTGGACCACACCCCAGAGACTATATAATAGAGGGTGGTGGCCAGTGATCCTTGTGACGAACAAAACTAACCTTGGATAGTCACTAAAGCCTCGTTCGGAACTGCTGGGAGGAATATTTATTGTTGTTGGACGTTTGGAAGCTGAGTATTTATCTTTCTGTTTTCTGTGGAAATAAAAGCACTTGGCAGACGGCGTGTATATCGCTGCCCAGTTGGAGATAGAGAGCTGGGTGTGTTCCAAGTGCTTCCTTAACCCTTGGCTGGCTGTGTTTGTGTGTGTGTGTGGACGGGGACAGATCACCAAGGCTGAAAAAGGCCAGGCTGAAGAGGCCCAGCCAAAGGCAGAGAAGCCAGCCACCTACCCTAGCTAGCTCCGTGTGCATAGTTGAGATATATAAAAATAAAAATAACATGGACCACAAAAAATGTTGGCTGAAACAGTAGAATGGTTCCCCCCTTTGCATCCCTAAGCCACCTAGCATTAAATGTCTCATGGATTGAGCCAGTGGTCGGATTCAGCTGGTTCTCTCCGGATCGCGCGAACCGGTAGCAGCGGCTGCGGAAGGCTCCGCCCACCTGCCCGGACATAATGCGCAACTACTGCACATGTGCAGAAGGCCGTGTGCATGCGCAGAGGTGGCAGAGCGAGTGGTCACATTTGGGAACCAGTAGGGAAGGTAAGTGAATCCCCCTCTGGATTGAGCCAGCTGTTCTCCCCAGATGTGGACATCCAGATTTGGAGTAATGTTCAACAAAAGGATGCGGTGAACTAAGCAGAAGTTGCCAGGTCTCCATAGAGACCTAGGCTGCTGTTGTATTAGTGAGACCTTGTGCTGTTGTTGTGTTAGTGCAACTGTAATTTTGGCTCTGTTTCCAGAAGAGAGATATCCCGTGATTGTTCACACGGCACCCTGAACCAGGTTAGTGAAAGCTAGCAGCGATAAATCCTTCCATTCTAATTGTGGTCAGATTTAACCACAGTTAAGTTTTGCTCGATGGCTCACCTTGGGTAGGCTTATGGTTCAGTTAATACAGCACATGAGATAATAACTAGGTGGAATGTCCTGTGTGAACTCAAAAAGAGTTTTCAAAACAGATCCGTTGAATCTTAAGAGGATCATTCTGCTATAATCTATGATGAGAACTGGATGTTGTGATATCTACAGCCATCAGAAATTTAGCCAAAGAAGAGCTTTCCAAAGGTGTTGGGAGGAAGCGAAAGAAAGAAAGTAACTTAGAAGCAAAAGGTGTGAGTTTCTAGGAAATTTTTGAACTGGAAAATTTTCCCATGCAAACCAGCGTGATCTCAATTAGCATATTCATCTCGATGTATCCCAAGTCTGCACAAGTACCGTATTTTTCAGAGTATAAGATGTTCCGGACTATAAGACACACCGACCTTTTTTTGGTGAGGAAAACAAGAAAAAGAAATCTGCCTCTGCCTCCCAGCAATTTTGCCTCCTTGCAGCAAACAGCAAACAGCCTGCTTTACTTTCATTTTTGTTTTCAGCATAGCTTGATTAGCGCAAGGAAAAAAAAAAACTTGCTCCCAGCAATTTACCTTCTTTCAGCAAGCAGCAGAGGCCAGCGCAGCAATAGGCAATGGCAATCCCTGCAGCCTGAAACAGCTGAGAGTCGGGAGGCCGATCCAACAGTCAATCAACTTGTGCTAATTAGGCTGTGCTGAAGCTGAAATAGGCTGTTGCTGCACGGAGGTAAATTTCTGGGAGGCAGAGGCCAAAGGGTAGGGGCCAGTGAGTGGGCAGGGCTACATTCGGTGTGTAAGACGCACCCAAATGTTCACCCCCTTTTACGGGGGAAAAAGGTGCATCTTATACTCTGAAAAATACGGTATTTGGGCGACGTTATCTGTTGTGAGGGAGAGGCATAAAATCCGCACTTCTCCATATTTTAGTAGAGTCACTTGAAAAGCAAGCATTGCACAACTTTTGAAACTCAAGATTAATCCGAAGTGGCAGAACCCTTTGGCAGAATGTTCCGACCATGTGTCTGCCTACAAAGCATGCTCTTAGGATAAGATGGGTGGGCCGATTCCATTGAACGAAACACATCTTTAAAGATAAAGATTCCCCTCACGCATATGTGCTAGTAGTTCCCGAATCTAGGGGGTGGTGCTCATCTCTGTTTCTAAGCCGAAGAACCAGCGCTGTGATGACAATTCCGTGGTCATGTGACCGGCATGATTAAACACCGAAGGCGCACGGAACGCTATTGGTCCCTATTTTTCTTCTTGCATTTTTTACGTGCTTTCAAACTGCTACGTTGGCAGAAGCTGGGACAAATAACGGGAGCTCACCCTGTTACGCGGCAGTAGGGATTCGAACCGCTGAACTGCCGACTTTTCGATCAACAAGCTCAGCGTCTTAGCCACTGAGCCACTGCGTCCCCTCAACGCATCTTTATGAACTCTTAATTTGAAAACAAGATAGCAACATGAAGAGGACAGAAACAAGTTAACTCTGGACCAAGAAGAGATTGTTAGCAACCAGAGGGATGATCGTCCTTAGAGATGCTGGTTTGCAATCTGGTGGCTGTGGTGTGAGGCGTAGCCAAGAGTTTTAGAGGCATTAGCTGTGTTACTACAATACAGAAGAACCAAGAAGCTGGGTGGATGCTGAAACCCCCCCCGTGTTAACTTTTTCCAATTAAGGACATGTATAAAGAGGTATAAACCTGCTTTCATTGTTACTGTTATTCCAGATATCAAATCAATGGGATGACCGAGAATCTCCATAAACATTAAATCAATGGGATCGAATGGCAATGATAAGAACAGATAAAAATCCCTTGTAAAGTCAGCTTTAGACCTTATCTCAGACCTTCGGGTGGGGAGGGGGGAGAATAAAATCCGTTATGTCCCCTTTTCTCCAACTGAGGTCCTACGGATGCATTGCTGTGATTGAGAGTCTGCCCATAAGACGGTTTATGTGGACCTGACCTGGATTGGAAAGCTTGCCATTCAAGATGGCAAGAAGCCCTTGGAAATGGTGTCCCTTTGGATGCAAGTCCTGAAAGAAACCTCTGGCAGAGTCGCATGGAGTCATGTTCTGAAGCACCTCGGACCTCACATTGCTGAACACCTGCGTGGAGATGCGGGCGAATCTGCATTCGCTTGTTTCCGGATACTTTCTGTCGGAAGAGAAAACATACGGATGTGTCTAAGCTGGACTTTGGCTTGATCCAGCTGACAGCAATAGCAATAGCACTTACACTTATATACCACTTCACAGGGTGAGTGGTTTACAGAGTCAGCGTATTTCCCCCAATAATCTGGGCCCTCATTTTACCCACCTTGGAAGGGATGGAAGGCTGAGTCAACCTTGAGCCTGGTGAGATTCGATCTGCCAAATTGCAGGCAGGTGGCAGTCAGCAGAAGGAGCCTGCAGTACTGCATTCTAAGCACTGCGCCACAGCGGCTTTGATCCTGGGCTGAATCAGCCCAGTAGACCGAAGAGAAGGGCCAAGGAGTCACCATACCTGCTAAGTCGCTCCTCCCGATGCTGACCAGCCCTTCATACAATCCTTTGATTGGATTTTCTCCTGCCATGATGGTCCCATGAAGCCATATCAGCAGCATCCGATGGCCATGTTCTCGGTAGCTTTTGGTGCCTGGCGAAAAAGCAAGAACACAGTTGAAGTGAGATATTCCAAGGTTATGGATTATGGATGTCATAATGATATCATGTGTCATAATATCGTCATCAACAAATGACCCAAACGATGTCACTTCATAATGTACTGTAGGCAGTTTGATCGATGACATCATGATGCACGGAACTTGATGCCCGTGGAGATGCATAATTTCCTGTTGTGGCAGGTGTACTATGACTAGGCTTTGGAATCACGTAATAGTGTTGATTAGTGTACAACTGATTAACTGATCAGAACAGTGTTTTCAAATCTCAATAGTTAAGTCAAGTTGATTTATAGGTTCTTGTACTGTTGTAGAGAGCCAATGTTGTGTTGTATTTAAGCATCAAGCTAGAATGAACTCACCAGGAAACCCTGAGTTTAAGTCTTGTTCTGGGCACCAAGTTAGCTGCATAACCTTGGGCCACTTCCTCTCTTCAGACCCAGGAATTACTTAAGGGGAAGTGGCAAACTACTTCTGAAAAACCTTGCCAAAGAAAAACTGTAGGGACTTGTCTGGGCAACCTCTGAGAATTAGACATGATTTAATAGAAGAATAAAACTGCTGTAAGAATACATAAGAATACATAAGAATAAGGGACGCCGAGGCTCAGTGGCTAAGACGCTGAGCTTTTCGATTGAAAGGTCGGCAGATCAGCGGTTCGAATCCCTAGTGCCGTGTAACGGGATGAGCTCCCATTACTTGTCCCAGCTTCTGCCAACCTATCAGTTCAAAAGCATGTAAAAAATGCAAGTAGAAAAAATAGGGACCACCTTTGGTGGGAAGGTAACAGCATTCTGTGCACCTTTGGCATTGAGTCGTGCCAACCACATGACCACGGAGATGTCTTTGGACAGCGCTGGCTCTTCGGCTGTGAAACGGAGATGAACACCGCCCCCTAGAGTTGGGAACGACTAGCACATATGTGCGAGGGAGACCTTTACCTTTAATCTGATTTCAGAATAATTTTTTATCCCCTGAATGGGCCTCATTGTAAATGCATTGAAAATCCCAGCAAAGGGAAAGGAAAAAGACCAGACAGTTTGCATTTTGATGAGTAGAACCGGGTAAATAGGCACTGGCTGTTTTCAGATACAGCCTCTGGGCTAACAAATTGTGTTATATATATTAAGAAAAAGCTTCTGCCTTTTAATAAAATGGAATAGTTTGAAAAGGTGCCACTAGGGACCAATATAGCTGTCCTCCTACAGTATCTTTGAGTATGTCACTGCTCAAGGCTTTTGCTGAATTGCCAATGTTTGATATCTTTTTAATTTGCTGTAACTCTTCTCAATTGCTTTCCATTGGGGATTTATTATTTTTTTTTAACACTGAAAAGAAAACACTGGCTTGCATTGGAGATGATGAAGGGGGTACAGTAGTAATACCTGCTTCCCCAGAGGGTTAGGCTGGGCTCGCTCACTGATGCAGCTCTATTTCTCTTTAAAAAGCTGTCTGGGGTTGGGGAGAACAGAAAATTCAATTCAAACATGCTTCATCCAGCTTTTTTCAACATGAATAGCTGGTCACAGCTGAGCCAGCTATCTCTAATATGGGCTGGATGGCAGCCAGGTTAGAGAAATACCGGCTAGCAAAGCGGTTTTCGATTTTTACTTCTTCTTTTTTCTCGCAAACCGCTTCTTGGTTTGGTCTCCTCTCTCTGAAACAGACGCATCGTTCATATTTCATGAGATGTTTTCCTCCAGTGCTGGTCTCAGAGACAAAATGCTAGTCTTGCATTTTTAAAACCAAGGGCTACGGCTATTTTAGCCTGTCTGAAAGACCCTAGAACAGTGATGGCTAACTTTTTCCGGACCGAGTTGTCCAAAGCGTGCACGCCTGAACCCGCAAAATGCAGGTCCCACAAATGCGTCCCCCGCATGTGCCTCTTCTGCTCCAGCTACAGACCCCAAAGAACGCAGCACACACAAAGTCTGTACAAACCTTAGTTTACTAAATCTGTCTTTTTCAAACAAAGGCTGTTAATTAACTTTCTTAACAGCCTACAAGAATCCAAAGAATGAATAATTGTAATCTTACTATGGTTGGCAGAAAGCCCAGAAGCAATTTGTAGAGAACTAAGATCCAGATGCGAAGGAGAATGAACGAAGTTGTTCCCTGCAAATTGCTTCAGTCGGCGTTGCTCCTTAAATAGGCTAAGGGAGTGGCCAATTAGCCCCAAGCCTTACTCTCGAGGAGACCTCCTCCTGAGGAGCCACTCCTGCCTTTTCGCAGCTCTGCGTGCCCGTGCATCGAGAAGAGGCTCCTCCTCTTCTTCCTCTTCACTTATGGGAGCTTCTGGAGGTTCTGAAGGCCCTGGCTGAATCCCCGCCTCTGGCACCACATCTTCTCCAGCCTCCTCATTGTCTGGCTCGAGTGCCAGCTGCACAGGCTGCTGGTGCAGCACCACACCGGCCTCCTCACTGTCCGAATCAGCTACTAGCTGCACAGGCTGCTGCTGGGCCACAACAGCGCTCCATCTCCCGCATGCATGCGCCCCCCCACACCCCCGACTCCCGTGCATGCACGGCAGAGACCCAAAGACCAGCTGGCCGGCGGGAGGTGCGTGCGCATGTGCGGTGGAGCTGAACTGGGGCGATGGCTCGCATGCCCACAGAGAGGGTGCTGCGTGCCACCTTTGGCACGTGTGTCATAGGTTCGCAATCATGGCCCTAGAAGGAGTACTGAGAAGAGCAACAAAGTTGATGGAGGCCAAGCCATCGGATGAAGGATTGAAGGACCTGGGTATGACTAGTCTAACAAAGAGAAGGACTAGGGAGGATCTGATAGTTGCCTTCCAATATTTAAGGGGTTGTCACAAAGAAGAGGGAGTCCACTTATTCTCCAAAGCACCTGAAAGCAGAAGAAGAAGTAACGGGTGGAAGATCATTAAGAGAGAGAACCAATCTAGAACTAAGGAGAAATTTCCTGACAGTGAGAACAATGAATCTGTGGAACGACTTGCCTCTAGAAGTTGTGGGTGCTCCAATACTAGAAATTTCCAAGAAAAAACTGGAATAGTATAGGATCTCCTGCTTCAGCAAGGGGTTGGAATACCTCCAAGGTCCTTTCCAACCTTATTACTCTATGTTCTAAGAAAGTTAGACCCAGTGGTGAAATCCACTTACCTTCGTTACCGGTTTGGGAACGGGAGTATGCACACTATGCGCGCATGTGCCTCAGGGGTGGATTCTACTTATCTTTACTACCGGTTCGCAGCGGGGGGCACGCGTGCGCTCTTCTGAGCAAGTGCAGAAGCATTTTGATGATATCAGGGTTGGTGGGCGAAGCCTCCCACCAGTTTTACTACCGGTTCTATTGAACCGGTGCGAACCGGGGCAACCCATTACTGATGCGCCTCTTCTGCACATGGGCAGAGGGTAAAAATGGGACGTAATGACGTCCTGGTGGGTGGGCGGAGCCTCCTGCCGCCAGCGCTACCGGTTCTCATGAGCCGGATGGAACCGGCCGGATAGAACCGCTGGTTAGACCCTCTTCATAATACAGATGGTCCTGGACTTACAACCATTTGTTTAGTGATAACTGAAAGTTATAACGGCACTGAAAAAAGTCACTCATGATCAGTCCTTGGATTGTTGCAGCATCCCCAGAGTCACGAGATCAACATTTGGGGCCATGGCAACCAGCATGTTTATAAGGTTTACAGCATCCAAGGCCAATTGTGACCTTCTCAGATGGTTTCCAACAAGCGAAGTCAATGGATGAAGCTGGGTTCACTTAATAGCACGATTCACTTGACTGAAGTGATTAGCTTAACAATCGTGGCAATTTGTTGTTTTTTTGTTTTTTTGTAAAATCAGATACGACTCACTTAGTGTCCTCCTTGGTTAGCAGTGGAAATTCTGGTCCCAGTTGTACTTGTAAGTCGAGGACTTCCTATAGACCTGATCTTTGGCTAAACACATGGCACCCTTCTCATATGTTCAGGAACCACCGGAATGGAGATCTCGGTTCCTGGTCTCCGGTCTCCTACTCAGGGGTAGGCTTCAAAAATTTTAGCAAGGGGTTCTCTGCCCGGTTGTTGGGTGGGTGTGGCTATAGTGGGCGTGGCCTAGTCAGCCGCCTGCTCCATGGCAAGGGGGGGCACTTTTGCCCTCTCCGGTCTCCGGAGGCTTTTCTTGAGCCTCCGGGAGGGCGAAAATGGCCTCCGCAGACTCCGGAGGCCTGAATTTCCAGTAGGCCCATTTTTTGCTCCAAACACGTCCTGCACTTACCTGCATCCAAAACAGGCCACTTGGGGACTCCTGGGAGGGGAGGGGTGGAGTGGGCAGGGCCAGCCAGGAGTGGGATTTGGGGGTTCTCTGAACTGCACAGAATCTTAGCTAGAGGTTCTCCCGAACCCCTGCGAACCTCCAGCAGCCCACCCCTGCTCCTATTCCTACTCAGCAGAAGTTGGGAAGAAGGTTACCTCTGTCACCTACCTGTCCACTGGTGTTCGATTGCACGGATGTGCGCCTCCGTGAATTTCCAATAATGTGCAAGTTTCTTCCACTCGTTGGCCTTGAGGTATTTGGTTGCGAGCCGCCACAGCACCGAACGGATATGTTGCGTTTCCAGCCGATGGTCTTGCTTGAAAGTTAAACGCTCAGTTATCCAGGAATCAGAGTCACTGTTGAGGTTATCCTGGGGAAAAAAAAGATCACCATTTCCTTCACGGTTCATGTTACGAACCCAGATGCTTGTGGCTATTCAATAAATCATGGTTAAAACACCCCAAGCTTAGTGTAATGATTGAGTACAATCCCTTAGTATCACTGTCTTGTCGGGCGAGATTTGATTCCTGTAACTGCTCTTCTATAGGGGGGAAATGGAGGAGCCGTGCGGTTATTCACCCCCACAGATCCAAACATGGAATGGGTTATAATCTTTATTAATTGACTTCTAATTCTTCATCTACCTCTGGGCAGTTCACAAACCTGGTTTGCTATGGTTCATTTAACTTAGTTTTTCCCAACCTTGGCAACTTTAAGCTGTGTGGACTTCAACTCCCAGCTGGCTGGGGAAATCTGGGACATCCACACAGCTTAAAGTTGCCAAGGTTGAGAAATACCGATTTAACCACTAGGTAGGGTTTACATCGAAACCAGTAAACTATGAATTATGATTCAACATACACTGAGGGCTCAGTTCACACAATGTCCTAAACCCAAATCCCACAAACCACAATATGTTTGGCTCTGCAACCCAGCAAGACAGACACAAACTTCAGAGGATAATTAGAACTGCAGAAAAAACAATGGCTACCAACCTGCCTTCCATTGAGGACCTGTATACTGCACGAGTCAAAAAGAGGGCTGTGAAAATATCTACAGACCCCTCGCATCCTGGACATAAACTGTTTCAATGCCTACCCTCAAAACGACACTATAGAGCACTGCACACCAAAACAACCAGACACAAGAACAGTATTTTCCCAAACGCCATCACTCTGCTAAACAAATGATTCCCTCAACACTATCAAACTATTCACTAGGTCTGCATTACTATTAATCTTCTCATCGTTCCCATCACCCATCTCCTCCCACTTATGACTGTATGACTGTAATTTTGTTGCTTGTATCCATAAGATTTATATTGATATTGTTTCCTGATTGCTTATTTGTACCCTGTGACTATCATTAAGTGTTGTACCTTATGATTCTTGATGAACATATCTTTTCTTTTATGTACACTGAGAGCCTATGCACCAAAGACAAATTCCTTGTGTCTAATCATGCTTGGCCAATAAAGAATTCTATTCTATTCTATTCTATTCTATTCTATTCTATTCTATTCTATTCTATTCTATTCTATTCTATTCTATTCTATTCTATTCTATTCTATTCTATTCTATATGGATTAGAGTAAAATGTCCACCAACCATAACCATTTAATGTGGCAGCCACACAGAGATTGACATGGACCATAAAGAGAGGATGTCTCCTGCCACTGCTTTTTTTTGCTATCATATCCTTTCTCTTTCCTTCTAAAACCTCTTGGCCTTCAGTCCTCAGATCTCTTTTATCTGGTTGCTCATTATCCTGCATTTCATCTACCAGATCCTACTACTTAGATCGGCCTCTCCTCTCCCCTTCTTTCCCTCAGGCTTTCCCCACAGAAGCCTCTCCTCTCCTCTCCCTGTTCTCTTTCTCAGGCTGGCCCCATTGATCCTCTCCTCTCCCCTTCTTTCCCTCAGGCTTTCCCCACAGAAGCCTCTCCTCTCCTCTCCCTGTTCTCTTTCTCAGGCTGGCCCCATTGATCCTCTCCTCTCCCCTTCTTTCCCTCAGGCTTTCCCCACAGAGGCCTCTCCTATCTTATCCCCTTCTCTCCCTCAGGCTGGCCCCAATGATCCTCTCCTATCCCCTTCTCTCCCTCAGGTGTGCCCCATAGAAGCCTCTCCTATCTTATCCCCTTCTCTCCCTTTCAGGTGGGGAGTAGAATGTCTAAACTCCCAGCCCACAGGCCGGATGAGTCACACGCTGGCCACACCCATGCCCAAGTGGCAGTTGGAACAGAGTTCTTTTCAGGCGGGGAGGGGGAATAGAACTCCTTAGCATCAGAGCGTGTTAATAATAATATAAGAAATACCAATGATCTGATGGTCATTTCGAGAAATTCTTTCTTAGCGAGCACTTAGAAGCCAAGAGGACCATACGTGCAAAAATTTCAAGTTTGTAGGCTTTATGGTTCTGGAGATTTCGTGATGATGCGTGAGTGGTATTTCACATTTATATATATATAGATTTTTACCTGTTGTGACCTTCCCAGAGGTGTTTAAATGAGATGGGAAGCCATACAGCTCAATCAATCAATCAAGTCCCTGGGCTTTTTCCAATACAAGCATGATTGTTGCCGCAAAGAGATTTCTGTCCTTGAGAAACAATTGCAGGGTTTCGGTTTCCTCTGGAGAAATTCTCCCAGTTTTGACAGAAAATTTCAACGAGTTCTTTGCATCTGACTGCATCCCACAGCTACAATTTCCTGTTTCCCTGGGTTTTTTTCCCCCTCTGGACAATTAACTGCTTATCTTTATTACCGAAAACTATTTTGTGCTCTTCCCCTGCCGCCCAGTGAATTTCTTTCCATTTGGGGCCCCGTATTTCCTCAGCCCCCAACTTCCTTCACCTCGTTCGGTCACCTCAGAGCCACCAAACCAACTTACTTTCTCCCACTTGTAAAATCTGTCCGCTTTGATGATCATATCAGCCAAACTGATGTGGTTCCCACGAGCAGCTACGTCCAGAGATGTTTTTCCTTGCTGCAGAAAATATATATATATATATATATATAAATCCCCTGAGTTGAACAGGACAAAACTTTGGGGCTTTTTAAAATTAACGGGCAGCAAATATTTAACTCCTGCCATATCGTGATTGTGTTTACTCCAGTGATTGATGGATAACCATCGCAGCATTTTTAGTAGAGATTTCATTTTGCCTGATGAAAAGGAAAACGGAATCGCATTTTTGTAGCTGATGCAGTGTAAATTATTAGATACCAAATTTATACTGTGATTTTTAAAGCATGGAGGAATTCACAAGCATTTTATATTTTACTGTCGAGCTGAATGTCTATGGAGATTCTCACTCATCCAGATCATGGTTGTCCTAAAGGTGATTTTTCCAAAAGAGAACTGGACTCTCTTGGGTTTTTTCCTTGGAAAAGTTTCAGCTTCTCATCCAAGAAGCTTCTTCAGTTCTGATTGACTGGTGGGGAAAGGAAAAATTTCATGTTAATGACCAGATGACTGCAAAGAATATAAATCCTTCCATTCCCCACCAGTCAGTTAGAACTGAAGAAGGTTCTTGGATGAGAAACAAAATGTTTTCAAGGGAAAAAATAAATACCAAGAAAGTCTGATTGCTTTTTGGAAAAGCACCTTTGGGACTGTTGAGCTGAATATTTGGAAGCCAGATTCAGTAAAATCTATTATCACAGAGGATAAAATACTAAAATATCTATATGGACGGGTTTCCAGTCCATCCTGTATTGATAATGCAGCCGCGTGGGTAATTATGGGGGGGCGACATGGCGCTCCCATGTAACACCTCTCTTGCGCGAGCTGCACTGGCTCCCGGTGGTTTTCCAGGTGCGCTTCAAGGTATTGGTTCTCATCTTTAAAGCGCTCCATGGCTTAGGGCCCGGGTACTTACGAGACCACCTTCTGCCACCAATAACCTCCCACCGGCCAATTCGCTCCCACAGAGAGGGCCTCCTCAGGGTGCCGTCGGTCAAGCAATGTCGACTGACGACCCCCAGGGGGAGAGCCTTCTCTGTGGGGGCACCCGCCCTCTGGAACGAGCTGCCCCCAGGAATATGACTGATCCCGGACCTCCGTACTTTCCGCCGAGCGTTAAAGACCTTCTTATTCCAGCAAGCCGGGCTGGCTTAAAATTTTAATGGGTTATTTTATGGGGAAAGGGTTTTAAAATTTAGGGAAGCCAAACTGATTTAATTCTGTTTTAATTCTTTTTAATTTTTATACTGTATGTGTTTTAAATTTTGGCTGTTCACCGCCCTGAGTCCTTCGGGAGAAGGGCGGTATACAAATTTAAATAATAAATAAATAAATAAATAAATAAATAAATAAATAAATAAATAAATAAATAAATCCCTGCCGTTGAAGCAAATAACACCTGATATGATCCATTCTGGGTTCGCTCCCCAGAATCTCTCTATATTAGGCTTAGACAAAACCTAAAACGAAGTCTAGCAGAGAAGTTTTGATCTTAAGGTCCGGAAGGACAGATTTAATCCATGACATTTCTGCTACAATGGCCTCATATATCCACTATTTATTATCTTCAAATACTGTTATTACCTAAAAGAGGCCTCACACTGGAACCCTTAGAGGCTTTGCTCTCAATGATTTTGACCAGCAGATGCAAACATTTCCCCTATCTTGTATGTACAGGTTGTCCTCAATTTACAACCACCGTTGGGGCCAGAAAATTCATTGTTAAGCATCTCGGTCATTAAATGAAGCATCCTCTGACCACAACTGATTTAAAAAAAATATATTTTTTTTGGCCACAGTTGTTAAACAAATCACCACAATCATTAATCACATGAGCCCATTTTGCAACCTTTCTTTCATTTATGTACTACCAGGAGCTGGGTTAAGATTCTAAAATAAAACTAATACTACTCATAAGAGCAACAACAATACTACCACCAGTGGTGAAATGTAAAATTTGGTACTACCGGTTCTGTAGGCGTGGCTTGGTGGGTAGGTGGGGTAATGTGACTGGGTGGGCGTGGCCAACTTTAAAAAAAAAAAAAACTTTTAAAAGCATTTTTTCTACAACCTCTTCAGCCGAAGAGATTGCAGAAAAAAAAGCTTTTAAAAGCCTCTGACGATCAGGCAACTCAGCTGGGATTGTCAGAGGCTTTTAAAAGCATTTTTTCTACAACCTCTTCAACTGAAGAGGTTGCAGAAAAAAATGCTTTTAAAAGCCTCTGATGATCAGGCAACTCAGCTGGGATTGTCAGAAGCTTTTAAAAGCATTTTTTCTACAACCTCTTCGGCCGAAGAGGTTGCAGAAAAAAATGCTTTTAAAAGCCTCTGACGATCCCAGCTGAGCCGCGCGATCATCAGAAGCTTTTTTTTGTTTCTTTTAAAAGCATTTTTTTGGCCAAAGAAAAAAAAGTAAAAAAAAAAAAGCTTCTGATGTTTGCGCAGCTCAGCTGGGCATGGGGGTGGGCAGGGATTTTTGCTACCGGTTCTTCGAACCATCCGCCGCCATCGCTATCAGATCGGGCAATCTGATCCGAACCGGGAGCATTTCACCCCTGACTACCACCCCTAGCATGAAGCTCAGGGGCATCTACTACCTAATGTCCCGAAGGAGGGTGCTATTTTTTAAAAACAGTTTATTTATATATTTTCACATTACATATATAAGTGCTTAGTGAACAGCGTATTGTCTGGATCAAATTTTTTTTATACAATAATACTTTTTCCACTCCTAATTTCTACCTCTACTATCCAACCATTTATAAAACCAGTCCCAATACACTTCTTTTATCTTCTTTTTCTTTTATTTTTATTGTCAATCTGTCCATTTCTGCACAATCCAATTTTTTTTAAATTACATCATCCTCTGTAGGTGTTTCCTTATTTTTCCAGTACTGTGCAAATACAATTCTTGTTGCTGTCAAGACATGTAATATTAAGTATAAGGTCCCTTTATCATACTTTTCAGGTATTATCCCTAGCAAAAGTATTTCTGGTTTATAATCTATATGTTGTTTACAGGAGGGTGCTATTTTGACTGTCTTACATAAGAGTGTCAGGGACTAGGCCATCTGAATTTCTAGGAATAAGAAATATAATGGGGACAGGGTGTGCACTGAAAAAAATGTTTTTGTAGATCAAATGCATTTCTATTAATCTTCTCATCGTTCCCATCACCCATCTCCTCCCACTTATGACTGTATGACTGTCACCTTGTTGCTGGTATCCTTAAGATTTATACTGACTGTTTCCTAGTATGATTCGATTGCTTATTTGTACCCTATGACTATCATTAATTATTGTACCTTATGATTCTTGATGAATGTATCTTTTCTTTTTATGTACACTGAGAGCATATGCACCAAAGAAAAATTCCTTGTGTGTCCAACACTTGGCCAATATTGTATTCTTCTATTCTATTCTAGATCAAATGCGGGAGGCATGAGGTAAATTCCCTTTAAAACATCCTCTGTGCATTCCCATGCTAAAACCCTGTGGCTATGGCTGGCACGGGTTTGCAAAGAGGTAACATTTCACGCGTTCAGACAGCGGCATTACCTTATCGGTTAATTTTAAATTCACCCCAGCCATGAGGATCAACTCAGCAATATCTTGCCTTCCGTGCTCTGCAGCAATATGAAGAGGACTCTGTCGCCTCTGGAGGCAAAAAAGGAAAATCAGAAATCGGCACTGCAAAGAATTTGGGAGAAGCATCTGTTCTTTAGCCTTGAGATAAACCACCTTTTGGGAAACTAGTTAAAAGCTTTTCCTGTAGCCTCAAGGAGGCCTTCTCTTCCATCATTGACACCTCATGGGGACAAGAAGCTCCAGCAGGAGGGAGCCAACTGACTCAAAGGGATAGATAAGAGATAAGTAGCCTTTACTGTCATTTTTCTGTGTATTTCAATTCCAATGCAAAATTCCAATGCCCACTCTTAAAGAAAGAAAGAAAGAAAGAAAGAAAGAAAGAAAGAAAGAAAGAAAGAAAGAAGGAAGGAAGGAAGGAAGGAAGGAAGGAAGGAAGGAAGGAAGGAAGGAAGGAAGGAGAAAAAACCCACCCACCAATGTCAACATCCCAAGGAATCAGTTGCCCCCAGAGATAAGGAGAATCCAAGACCTCAGTGCCTTCCGCCGTGCCCTTAAAACCCACTTTTTCCAGCAAGCTGGGCTGGCTTAAGAAGAAATTTTTAAATGTTTTAATTGGTTTGTGATTTTTAATTTTGGGGCCAAATTTATATATATTTTAATTGTTTTTTTAATATTTGTATTTCATGTTCTTAATTCTGGCTGTACACCGCCCTGAGTCCTCAGGGAGAAGGGCGGTATATAAATTGGAAATAAAATAAAATAAAATAAAATAAAAAATAAATAAATAACAATAATATAATAGTAGCAGCATCAGCATCCAAAAGTGGCAAGTTATACAAAATGACAACAAAACTAACACACACACACACTAATCACAGTCTATCTTGAATACATAGCGGAAAAATCTTGTTAGGTGGCCCCCAATGCCAGCTCCCAATTCCTGCCGAATTTCACCCCAGAAATGAGAGACCCCTGCAATAATTCCTTGGACTTTGGGGCAGGTGCCTGAACTCAAAGGGAATTTTTCTCCAACTTGGATTGCACAACAAGGATGTGCTAAGACAAAAAGAGGTATAGGTATAAAAGTATGTATGTATGTATGTATGTATGTATGTATGTATGTATGTACCGTGTTTCCCCAAAAATAAGACCCTGTCTTATATTTTTTTGAACCCCAAAATAAGCACTTGGCCTTATTTTTGGGGAGGTCTTATTATTTTGGGGTGCACAGAGGAAACCAGAGGAAATGGCGGGGACTGGCTGCCTATGCATTTAAATATTTTCGGGGAGGGCTTATTTTAGTGCATGCACTCAAAAGCCCGATTGGGTTTATTATCAGGGGATGTCTTATTTTAGGAGAAACAGGGTATGTATGTATGTATGTATGTATGTATGTATGTATGTATGTATTTGTATTTAGCATTTATGAACCCATTTCTCTCAAAGAAAGAGATGTTATTTAGATATTTAATTAATTAATTGTTCAATTTTTTAATTTTTTTTTAAAATTTGATTTATATGCCGCCCTTCTCCGGAGACTCAGGGTGGCTTACAATGCGTTAAGCAATAGCCTTCATCCTTTTGTATATTTTGTATATTTATACAAAGTCATCTTATTGCCCCCACAAACTGGGTCCTCATTTAACCTACCTTAGAAAGGATGGAAGGCTGAATCAACCTTGAGCCTGGTAAGATTCGAACCTGCAGTAATTGCAGGCAGCTGTGTTAATAACAGGGTGCTTTAAACCACTGTACTACCAAGGCTCAATATTCCACTGTTATTATTTTTATAAATAATTCAAGGCGACTACCTTATTTAATACTCCCCTCTCCTCCTGACTGCTCTTTGGAAGGCCAGATCCTGAAGAGGAAACTCAAATACTTTGGCCACCTAATGAGAAGGAAGGACTCCCTGGAGAAGAGCCAAATGCTGGGAACGATTGAGGGCAAAAGAAGAAGGGGATGACAGAGAACGATGTGGCTGGACGGAGTCAGTGAAGCAGTCGGCGTGAACTTAAATGGACTCCAGAGGATGGTAGAGGACAGGAAGGCCTGGAGGAAGGTTGTCCATGGGGTCGCGATGGGTCGGACACCACTTCGCAACTAACAACAACAACTCCTCCTTTTGTCTTTACAACAACAACAACAACCCTGTGAGGTGAGTTGGGAGGAGAGAGAGGGACTGGCCCAAAGGCATGCAGCCAGCTTTCATGCCCAAGGTGGGACTAAATCTTCCAGACTCCTGGTTTCTAACCTGATGCCTGAACTATCAGACAAAGAATTCCAGCAAGTGAACTTAATTTTCAGTTTACAACCAATGGCATAGAGCTCCAAGAATATTCAACCAAGCAATGCCATCTGCAAAGACCCAGGAAGTGCCCTTTCTCTTGTCATGGCATCTGCCTTCTGTAATGAGATCTCCTTGAGATCCAGGTGGATCCTGCTCAGATGGCATTATCTTCTCCCAGACATTCATTTAAGGTGACTGTGCTATTATCTCTGTGTGTTTGTTGGGTTGTTGGCCAGAATTGCCATTTCGTTCTCAATTTTTTCCTTGTCGTCTCTTTAACTTGCTTTTTTTTTCTTTCTTTCCCTATTCATATTAAATTTTATCCTCCTTATGTTCCGAGCTGCCCAGAGATGTTCCGGAGTGGAGTAGTGACTAAATCGAATAAATAATTTAATTAAAAGAAATGAAAGTGGTGCAGCGCCGAGGATTTGAAGAGAAGAGCTATGCTTTAGAGCAGGGGTGAAATCCAGCAGGTTCTGTCAGGTTCTGGAGAACCGGTAGCAGCCCCAGAGTGGGGTGGGAATGGGGTTTTTGCAATATCCTTCCCCCATGAGTGGGGAGGGAATGGAGATTTTGCAGTATCCCCTGCCACGCCCACCAAACCACGCCCACAGAACCGGTAGTAAAAAAAAATTGGATTTCATCACTGCTTCAAAGCACACAGAAGCGCACACACCATCCCTTAAACCAAGCGTCTCCTTTTCCACGATTGCTTTGACCTCATTAAAATGCCATCAGTTAAGAGCTTGAGTGGTGCGGTGGCCTAGAGGTGGAGCTCTCGCCTCACAATCAGGAGGCTGTGAGTTCGATCCTAGGTCGAGGCAGATATTTCTCTCTCTGGGCACACCAGAGAATATATCTGCTGGAAAAAAAACCTCCGCCATGGCGACCGGAAGGACATCCGGCCAGTAAACACTCAGCTCCGTTCAGTTGCCCAGACTCCACCCTGCAGGGGATTATGAGGTCGTTAAAAGAGGATGATGATGATGATGATGAATTAGATGAAGAGCTTGCAAGTACTCTAATCTGCTGCCAAAGCTTCGTTAGATCTTAAACACATTGGTTACCATAATTTAAAAAATCTTACATTATCAGGAACATCAAGGTCACATTCCGCATCAATGAGAAGTTTGACAATGGCTGGGTAGTTCCGTAGCACCGCAATGTGCATAGCTGATGCATTTTGCTGTGGGGGGAAAGAAAAGCAGTGTTAATACTTGGAGCATTGAGCAAATCTAGGCTTCGAAGTTGCATTCTGCCGATTGGAAAAACCCATACTGGAACTTCATGCAGGTTGCCATTATTTGCTGACCTTGGTTGCATAATGTAGGTAGTCCTTGACTTACAACAGTTTATTTAGTGACCTCTCGAATTTACAATGGCACTGAAAAAATGATTTAGAGCTGTTTTTTTACACTTATGACCATTGCAGCCCCCCCATGGACACGTGATCAAAATTTGAATACCGTGTTTCCCCGAAAATAAGACTCTGTCTTATATTTTTTTTAACCCTGAAATTGGCACTTGGCCTTATTTTCGGGGAGGTCTTATTATTTTGGGGCACGTGGAGCAAGACGAGGCTCCCCTTGCCATCTTACCTGATTTCCAGCTCTGTCTCCCTAATCCTAACCAGAGAAAATGGTGGGGACCAGCTATGCATGTGCTTAAATATTTTCGGGGAAGGCTTATTTTTTTTTTTTAATTTGATTTATATGCCGCCCTTCTCCGAAGACTCAGGGCGGCTTACAATGTGCTCAGCAATAGCCTTCATCCTTTTGTATATTTATACAAAGTCAGCTTATTGCCCCCACAACTGGGTCCTCAATTTACCTACCTTAGAAAGGATGGAAGGCTGAGTCAACCTTGAGCCTTGGCGAGATTCAAACCCTGCAGTAATTGCAGGCAGCTGGTCTTAATAACCAGCTTAATAACAGGGTGCCTTAAACCCCTGTACTACCAAGGCTCAGGGGAGGGCTTATTTTCAGGGGAGGGCTTATTTTCAGGAGAGGGCTTATTAGGGGAGGACTTATTAGGGGAGGACTTATTTCAGGGGAGGGTTTATTTTCGGGGGAGGACTTATTATCAGCGGAGGGTTTATTTTCAGAGGAGGGTTTATTTTCGGGGAAGGGCTTATTTTCGAGGAAACATAGTATTTGGCAAATGGTTCATATTATTTATGACGGTGGCCATGTCCCGGGATTATGTGATCACTTTTTGTGGCCTTCTGACAAGCAAAGTCAGTGGGGAAGCCAGATTCACTTAACAACCATGTTATTGTCTTAACAACGTCAATGTTAAGTCATATTTAACAAATATGGCAAGAAAAACCACCAAATGGGGGCAAAACTCACCTAACAAACGTCTCGTTTAGCAACAGAAATTTGGGGCTCACTAATGGCCGTACGTTAGAGACTAACTGTATCTGGCTTTCAGATTGCTGCCTAAAGACAAAGAGTTGGGCATCCTTAGCTTAACCCAGCCCTTCCAATTTCTTCCTCTTGTTTTGTCCATCAGTCTCTTATCCTTTTCATCCTGGCAAGACTAAAACAGGGCAAAATTCACTTAATAATTGTCTCGCTTAGCAACAGAAATTTTGGGCGCAATTGTGGTCCTAAGTAGAGGACTACCTATACATTCTTCTCGGCCATGGGGAGAAAACAGACCCAGATGACTAATTCAGAAGACTCAGCATTAATCCCAAAGTACCGTATTTTTCAGAGTATAAGACGCAGCTTAGTTTTTGGGGAGGAAAATAGGGGGGAAAAAAATCTGCCTACCAGGTATTCATCTGGCTAGCGTTCTTAGTCTGGTCAGCTTCAGCACATTAGTTTGCTGGTTTTTATCCCCTGCCTGGGGATAAAAAACAGCTTCTAAAGCACAACCGATCTTTGGAGAGAGAAGCAATGAGAAAAGCAGGCAAACCAGGGAGATCGCTTCACTCGCTAGCGCCTCCTTAGGGCTGAAAAAAAAAGTTCACAGCTGAGAGTCGGAGAGAGCGGGGGAAGATCGCTTCACTGAAAAATGCTTCTAAAGCACAGCTGAGAGTTGGAGGGAACAGGCAAAGCACGTAGATCGCTGGCTAGCACCTCCTTAGGGCTGAAAAACAAAAAGCTTTGAAAAAGCTACATTCAGAGTATAAGACGCACACAAATTTTCAGCCTCTTTTAGGAGGCTGAAAAATACGGTACCCCACAAATTAAAACAATGCTCTCTGGTCAGTTGTGAATGCAGTGAGGTTAATGGTCTTCTCCTTGTCCCAAGACAGAGTTAAAGTCATAGAGAAAAGCCCTGGGAAAAATTTCTCTAGAAACGCCATCTTGATTGCTGTTGGGTTCAAACAGGACAAATGCAAACAATCCGTCCTCAGACTGGTTTATTCAATAATAAACTTTCCTTCCACACCAAAATGTGGGAGATCTTTCGTCAGTTGTGCCCCGCAGGTGGGAGAAACAGAAAGAGGAACCAGACCTTGCTTTGACTATAAATAGGGCTTCCAGTTCATACTTGGCAGATGCTGCTGAGTTTCTTTTCTTTACGATGTTCCTTGTTCTTGTAATAATCTTAACGCATCTCAGAGCTGCGTCCCAGAATCATTGCACACGCAGTGTTGGGTTCAGGGGTGAAATTCAATTTTTTTTTTCCTTTTCGGTTCTATGGGCGTGGCTTGATGGGCATGGCAGGGGAAGAATATTGCAAAATCTCCATTCCCACCCCACTCTGGGGCCAGCCAGAGGTGGTATTTGCCGGTTCTCTGAACTACTCAAAATTTCCACTACCGGTTCTCCAGAACCTGCTGGATTTCACCCCTGGTCCGATTCTAATAGTAGCCAGAAGTCTGACATTACTGGAGTTCTCAGCTGCCAATCCTCTGGTTGCACTAGGGGATGTTCCAGATAGAGGTAGGGTAGAATAGCAATAGTAATTGCACTTAGAATTATATAATGCTTCATAGGGCTTCCCAGCCCCCTCTAAGCGATTTACAGAGTCAGAATATTGCCCCCCAACAATCTGGGTCCTCCTTTTACCGACCTCGGAAGGATGGAAGGCTGAGTCAACCTTGAGCCGGTTAGGATCGAACTCCTGGCAGTCGGCAGAATTAGCCTGCAATACCGCATCCTAACCACTGCGCCACAATGGCTCCTATGTGATACTTCGAAGGGAAACCCAGCTGAACTCGGAGGATGTGCCCATTCTCTCTATTTGGAGCTATAGCAATAGCAGTTTATAGCCCTCTCTAAGTGGATTACAGAGCCAGTCTTTTGCCCCCCAGCAATCTGGGTCCTCATTTTACCGACCTCGGAAGGATGGAAGGCTGAGTCAACCTTGAGCCTGGTGAGATTCGAACTGCCAAACTGATAGCAGTCAGTGATCAGCAGAAGTAGCCTGCAGTACTGCATTCTAACCACTGCGCCACCGCGGCACTTAGGTATGAAGGTATGAAGATATTCTGGTTGGAGTTGATGAAATCAGTCACTTACGTAATTCAGAGCATCTGTCAGGATTCCTGCACCAAGGAGGGTTTTGGCCATGTCTACATAGCCATTCAGTGCAGCATAATGAAGGCAGGTCATTTTTTTCTGAAAAAAAAATCAGGGGGACATCTTCAGGCAACGCAAGCTCACAAAAATCTACTACAGCTAGTTCTTTACCTATGAAAGAACCATTTATTTAGCGACCATTCAGTTACAACGGCACTGAAAAAAGTCACTTATGAATGTTTCTCATCCTTATGATCGTTCTGGCCTCCCCATGATCAACGGGGGTATAGAAATGATGCAAATAAATAGATAACTCTGCTAAACAACTAATTCCCACAACACTGTCAAACTATTTAATAAGACTGTATTACTATTATTCTTCTCATCCTTCCTAGTACCTACCTCCTTCTGCTTATGACTATAACCTTGTAGCTTGTATCTTTACAATTATGTTGTTTTATTTAGTTTCCTAGTATGATTTATGTTTTTTTTTTAAACAAAACATAAAACAAATCCATCATCTATTACAATTGCAAACAGTGTGTCAGTCGGTTGCAAATCTTTTGTGCTTCATCCCCATATTCAGAATTTACTAATTATCTAATTTCTCATATTGTCAAATCAACATCCTCATTTATCATTTATTTAACTATGGCTTTGTCGCTTCGAAAAAAATATTTTCAAGTATTATATTTATAACATTCATTTCATGTTTCAAATTTCATTTCCATGTTTTATTATCTAGCCATTGATACTAGTATGATTTATGTTGATTGCTTATTTAGTATCCTATGACTATCACTAAGTGTTGTATCTTATGATTCTTGATGAATGTATTTTTTTATGTACACTGTCTAATCACACTTGGCCAATAAAGAAGTCTATTCTATTCTATTCTATTCTATTCTATTCTATTCTATTCTATTCTATTCTATTCTATTCTATTCTATTCTATTCTATTCTATTCTATTCTATTCTATTCTCTATATATTCTATTCTACATACTATTATGATATATATAATATATTCTATTCTATAAATGAACAAATAAATATTCCTCCTATATGTCTTGACCAAATCTTTCGAATCAACTAACCATACCTGCGTTTGGGCATTGACTTCACAGCCAGCTTCTAGAAGCAGATGGATACAATCATTGTGTCCTCCCTCAGCAGCTAAATGCAGGGAAGTCATCCCTTCCTGGAAAAAGACAGGAAAAATAAGCCCTGGTTGTCCTTTTAATGCATGAGAATTAGTTCTCACACAGTCAGGGAAACACAACATAGTAGCATATCTACGAGAACTGCAAAACAGCCTTCTCAGGAAGAAGATGGAATGGGGTAGTTTTGTTGTTTTTATTAGTTGCGAAGTCATGTCCAACCCATCGCAACTCCATGGACAACATTCCTCCAGGCCTTCCTGTCCTCTACCATCCTCTAGAGTCCATTTAAGCTCACGCCGACTGCTTCAGTGACTCCATCCAGCCACCTCGTTCTCTGTCGTCCCCTTCATTCGCCCTCAATCCTTCCCAGCATTAGGCTCTTCTCCAGTGAGTCCTTCCTTCTCATTCGGTGGCCAAATTATTTGAGTTTCCTCTTCAGGATCTGGCCTTCTAAAGAGCAGCCAGGGTTGATCTCCTCTAGGACTGACCAGTTTGACCACCTTGCAGTCCAAGGGACTCGCAGGAGTCTTCTCCAGCACCATAGTTCAAAGGCCTCAGTTCTTTGGCGCTCAGCCTTCCTTATGGTCCAACTTTCACAGCCATATATTGCAACTGGGAACACCATAGCCTTTGACTGTACGCACTGTTGTTGGCAGGGTGATGTCTCTGCTTTTTAGTAAGCTATCTAGATTTGCCATAGCTTTCCTCCCCAGGAGCAAGCGTCTTTTTGGTTTAGGATTTTAGTTTAGGGGCAGTTTAGGATGATGCAATCTGGAAAGACAACTAAATAGAAGAGAATTTCTGTAGCTCAGGGTTGAGCTGTGAAGTTTTGGGTGCTCTCTGGGCTTGTTTGTTTTCGTGAAGATGGTTTGCTACCTCACCAGGTTACATCTTCAGTTGGGTCCTTGGTTCTCTCTGGGCTTGGTTGTTTTCGTGAAGATGTTTTGTTACCTGACTAGTTTAAATCTTCAGTAAAGTCCTTGGTGCTCTCTGATCTTGGTTGTTCCTTTGCCAATGTTTCGTTACCCAATCAAGTAACATCTTCAGTGCTAGCTCTGGAGAAAACAACCAAGAAACATCTGCAAGAAAACAAACAAGCTCAGAGACCACCAAGAACTAAACAACAAACAAACAGTTGTTTGTTTTCACAAACAACTAAATCATGGCAAGGGGTCAAGATAAGGATGACTGTGTTATACACCTGCCTTATGTTATGTAGCTTGCTTTGTCTATTACTAAAATTCAAGAAAAAGAGTTGGCATTAAATTTCCATGTTTCCTAATTGGGGGGGGGGGACATATTTTTCTGTTTTATACTCACTGCATTCTTGTCATCTAGGTCCACACCGACTTCTAGAAATTTCTGTAATACATCTGCATGTCCATTCATGGCTGCCAAATGAAGAGCTATGTTCTTCTCCTGCAAACCAATATGACATTCCACATTAAATGAGAAGAGTCCTCATGGGGATCCATGGGAGAACAAGCAGAAATCTTCCTCTAACACATTGTTTAGAATTTAGAATAACAGAGTTGAAAGGGACCTTGGAGGTCTTCTAATCCAACCCCCTGCTTAGGCAGGAAACCCTACACCACTTCAGGCAAATGGTTATCCAACATCTTCTTAAGAACTTCCAGTGTTGGAGCATTCACAACTTCTGGAGGTAAGTTGTTTCACTGATTAATTGTTCTAACTGTCAGGAAATTTCTCCTTAGTTCCAAGTTGCTTCTCTCCTTGATTAGTTTCCACCCATTGCTTCTTGTCTTGCCTTCAGGTGCTTTGGAGAATAGCTTGACTCCCTCTTCTTTGTGGCAGCCCCTGAGATATTGGAAGACTGCTATCATGTCTCTCCTAGTCCTTCTTTTCATTAGATTAGACATACCCAATTCCTACAGCTGTTCTTTATATGTTTTAGCCTCCAGCCCCCTAATCCTCTTTGTTGCTCTTCTCTGCACTCTTTCTAGAGTCTCTGCATCTTTTTTACATCGTGGCGACCAAAACTGGATGCCGTATTCCAAGTGTGGCCTTACCAAGGCATTATAAAGTGGTATTAACACTTCACGTGATCTTGAGTCTATCCCTCTGTTTATGCAGCCTAGAACTGTGTTGGCTTTTTTGGCAGTTTCTCAACCTTGGCCACTTTAAGTTGTATGGACTTCAACTTCTTCAAAGAAGAGCAACTAAGATGATCAAAGGCCTGGAGACCAAACCATATGAAGAACAGCTACAGTTTTTGGATTTGGCTAGTCTAAAGAAAAGAAGAATTAAGGGTGACATGATAGCAGTATTTCAGTATTTGAGGGGCTGCCAGAAAGAAGAGAGGGGGTCAAATTATTCTCCAAAGCACCAGAGGGCAGGATAAGAAACAATGGTTGGAAACTAATCAAAGAGAGAAGCAACCTGGAATTGAGGAGAAACTTCCTAACAGTGGGGACAATTAACAAGTGGAACAGCTTTGCCTTCAGCAATCATGGGCCCTCCATCAATGGAGGTTTTTAAGAAAAGACCGGACAGTCACTTATCTGAAATGGTATAGGGTCTCCTGCTTGAGTAGGGGGTTGAACTAGAAGATCTCCAAGGTCCCATTCCATTCCATTCCATTCCATTCCATATTCTATTCTATTCTATTCTATTCTATTCTATTCTATTCTATTCTATGCAGGTAAGTGCAGGGCACGCACAGAGGCTTGAGGAGTGCAAAAAATGGGCCTACAGGAAGTTCAGGAAGGGGGCCTCCACAGGAGGGCCTCTGGAGGCTGGAAGGCCACTTTTGCCCTCCCGGAGGCTCAAGGAAAGCCCCTGGAGCCTGGGGAGGGCAAAAATGTCCCCCTGCCATGGTGCAGGAGGCTGACTAGGCCACACCCACCCAGCAACCAGGCAGAGAACCCCTTGCTAAAATTTTTGAAGCCCACCCCTAATAAGAAGGGAGGAGGGTTTATAGGGAGGAGGAGGAGGAGGAGGAGGAGGAGGAGGAGGAGGAGGACTGTTGGGTCCTTATTGTTCTCTGAGCTTATTTCCTTGCAGATATTTCATTACCCAAATTAGGTAACCTCATCAGTGCTAGTCAACACTCTAGCGCTGATAATGTCGCCTAATTGAGCAATGACACATCTGCAGGAAAACAACCAGTCTCAGAAAACAGCAAGGACCCCACATTTCAACCCTGATCTACAAATATTCTCCTTTATTAAAAAAAAAAAAAACAGAGGAAGGAGGGTATTTCCAATTTCTTTCTTGTGCCTTTTCCCAAACTGAGTTCTCTTTTATTTTTCACTTAAAAGTTCTCAAATACTTTTATTAAGATCGTCTTTATGTTCCATTACGGCAGTAATGCTAAATCCCCAGAAGGGCCATTTGGTTTTATACACTTCTGTTTTTCATGGCGGTGAAGCCCAAGAGGGCAGTACGGCTGCATCTCGCTGAATTGGACATCCAGTGATGAGGCCACTGCCATATCCCCCAGGGAGGTTTTGTATATAATTACGTGGATTCTGTGTACAGGGAGTCCTCGACTTACAACAATTCATCTAGTGACTGTTCTAAGTTACAATGGCACTGAAGAAAGTGACTGATTGTTGTGGCCCGTCAGCGGCCTGTGCAGATTGTAGCTGATTCCGACAATGAGGAGGCTGGTGTGGTGCTGTGTCAGCAGCCTGTGCAGCTGGCGCTCGAGTCGGACAGTGAGGAGGCTGGAGAAGATGTGGTGCCAGAGGCAGGGATTCAGCCAGGGCCCTCAGAACCTCCAGAAGCTCCTTTAAGTGAAGAGGAAGAAGAGGAGGAGCCTCTTCTCGATGCACGGGCGCGCAGAGCTGCCAAAAGGCAGGAATGGCTCCTCAGGAGGAGGTCTCCTCGAGAGTAAGGCTTGGGGCTAATTGGCCTCTCCCTTAGCCTATTTAAGAAGGAACGCCACTTGCAACAAGCTGTAGAGAACAACTTTAGTTCACTCGCCTTCACGTCTGCAAAATTGTTTCTGGGCTTTCTGCCAACTCTAGTAAGACTGTGATTACCTTATCTTAGAATTCTGGTAGGCTGTTAAGACAGTTCATTAACAGCCTTTGAATGATAAAGACTAAGTTATTTGAGTAAAATAAGCTTTGTATAGAGTTTGTGTGGGCTGCGTTCTTTGGGGTCCGTAGCTGGGGCAGAACACTGATGCCTATTTTTCACCCTTGTGACCGTTGCAGCATCCCCATTGTCACATGATTTACATTCGGATGCTTGACCACTGACTCACATTTATGACGGTTGCAGTGTCCCGGGGTCATGGGATCCCCTTTTGCGCCCTTCCGATGAGCAAAGTCAATGGGGAAGCCAGATTCACTTAACAACCATGTGACTCACTTCACAACTGCAGGGGTTCACTTAACAACGGTGGCAAGAAAGGTCGTAAAATGGGGCAAAACTCATTTAACAAATGTTTCACGTAGGTCGTAACATGGCCCTTGACAAATGTCTCACTTAGCAACATAAACTCTGCCCTCAATTGTGGTCATAAGTCAAGGACTGCCATATACGTTTGCTTCTCTTTTGTCATGTTCTCTTCAGACGCTAAATCAGTGGTGAAATCTAAAATTTGTTACTACCGGTTCGGTGGGCGTGGCTTGGTGGTGGGGGGTAATGTGACTGGGTGGGCGTGGCCAATTTTTTTTTACTTTTAAAATTATTTTTTCTACAACCTCTTCAGCCGAAGAGATTGTAGAAAAAATGCTTTTAAAAGCCTCTGACGATCCCAGCTGAGTTGCCTGATCGGCAGAGACTTTTTTTCTTTTAAATGCCTCCGATCAGGCAACTCAGCTTGGATCGTCAGAGGGATTTAAAAGAAAAAAAAGGGTTTTTTTCTTTTAAAAGCCTTTGATGATCCCAGCTGAGCCGCACAATCATCAGAGGCTTTTTATTTACTTTTAAAAGCATTTTTTCCGCCAAAGAGGTTGTAGAAAAAATGCTTTTCAAAGTTAAAAAAAAGCCTCTGATGATTGTGCGGCTCAGCTGGGCATGGGGGGGGGAGGGGTGGCGCAGGGATTTTTGCTACCGGTTCTCCGCACCACCCACCTCCATCGCTACCGGATCGGGCGATCCAGTCCGAACCGGGAGCATTTCACCCCTGCACTAAATAAATCAATAATTATAGCGGGGATTTCTATTGCTTGGAAGCTGAACGGCTCACAAAGAGATGAAATCCAGGAATAATTCTCTTCCTTGTACATGTGAACCTGGACTTTTTATTTTATTTATTTATTTATTTAATTTGATTTATATGCCGCCCTTCTCCGGAGACTCAGGGCGGCTTACAGTGCGTTAAGCAATAAGCAATAGCCTTCATACTTTTGTATAAAGTATAAAGACTTTGATCAAACTCTGAATGATTGTTTGATTTGTTTATCTCTAATGGTACACACACTCAATCAGCCTCCTGAAGGTTCCATTGTAGATGTGACTTGTTTAAGCACCAGAAAACAGAGCTATACATGTCTATTTACACAATTTATTTGCCTTCTATCATACCAAGCCTCTCCAGGAGGCATACAATATAACAATATCTTTTCTAAACTTTATCTATATATATAAAAGCCAATCACTCATCACGAAATCTCCAGAACGATAAAGCCTACAAACTTGAAATTTGGCACGTATGTTTCTCTTGGCTTCTAGGTGCTCACTAAGAAAGGATTTTTCGAAATGACCATCAGATCATTAGTATGTTATATACAGTATTATATTCACACGCTCTGATGCTAGACGTTCTACTCCCCCTCCGCACCTGAAAAGAACTCTGTTCCAACTGCCAGTTGCCTTATATTAACACGCTCTGATGCTACAGATTACACATTCTACATTAAGTTTCAGGCTTTAAGTGTCAATTGATGAAGCCCAAGCACATAGTTTCGTAGCGAAGCACAGGTGTCCAGCTAGCAATTCAATAAAGCTGGCTGCAGCTAACACAGATGAACCACAGTTCCTTACCTGTATTGTTCTGGCTGTTAAAGTTTAAGACACCCAAAATCATTTGCAGACGAATGGGTTTTATATTAAATATGGCAATAAGCGAGCCAGTTTAGTCTGGTGATTAAGATGGGATTAAGAGGTGATTAAGGGTAAAAACTGGGAGACGGTGAGTTCTAGTCTCCCATCTTTCGGACAAAGTTAGCTGGGTGATTTGCGGACAGTCATCCTTTACTCATTTGTTTTTGGAGGCACTGGTCTACCCATTTATTTTTGCAGGGACCAGTCTACTCATTTGTTTTTGGAGGCACCGGTCTACCACCACACTGCCTTTTAACACTGATCAGCTGTAGGGCAGCCCTTTGAAGCCCTGCGGCAAAAGTTTAAACAGTTTTTTTTCCTTCTAGCCGATCAGCTGGGACTCAGGAGGCAGCAATAGATTGGGGGTGGGGCCAAATAAAAGGTAAGAATAACGCAGGGGGCGGGGGGGCGTAGAACTGGTTTGGTGATGTCATATTGTCACCGCTACCGGCTCGGCGGAACCTGGTGGAACCCACCACTGGGCCCTGCCCACCCCACCCCGCCCCTCCCAGGAGTCCCCACGCGGCTTGTTTTGGATGCAGGTAAGTGCAGGGCCTGCGTGGAGGCTCGGGGAGGGCAAAAAACAGTCCTACCAGAAGTTTGAGAAGGCTGGAAACTGGCCCGTTTCTGGCCACTGGAGCCTGGAGAGGCTGTTTTCGCCCTCCCGGAGGCTCGAAGAAAGCCTCCAGAGCCTGGGGAGGGCAAAAGTGCCCTGCCATGGTGCAGGAGGCTGACTAGGCTACGCCCACCATGGCCACGCCCACCCAGCTACTGGGTAGAGAACCCCTTGCTAAAATTTTGGAAGCCCGCCCCTGCTTCCAAGCCTGTTTTTCTGTTAATTGTGGAGCGCATAATCAACGTTTATGAGAAAGATAGAAAGCTGGAGGATCCAGAAGATTCCTAGATCTTTGACAAGACAATTCCCAACTCCTTTTTGCAAACCTTGTCTTTGATGCTGTGAGAAGAACCTAGGCCCAGCAGAAACTCCACCACCTCCAGCTGCCCCTTCTCTGCAGCCAGATGAAGGGCTGTCCTGCCCATCTTCAAGGAGAGAAAGAGAGGGGTGGGGAAGAGGGAATGGGGGAGGAAGAGAAAAACCAGATGGTGATCATTGCATATAAAGGTAGTCCTCGACTTGCGACCACAACTGAGCCCAAAATTTACGTTGCTAAGTGAGACATCTGTTAAATGAGATTTGCCCCATTTTACAACTTTTCTTGCCACGGTTCTTAAGCAAGTCACTTAACTGTTGTTAAGTTATCAATACGGTTGTTAAGGGAATCTGGCTTTCCCCAGGACAATGCAACCGTCATAAATATGAACCAGTTGCCAAGCATCTGAATTTTGATCACGTGACCACGGGGCGGGGGGGATGCTGCCATGGTCGTAGGTGTGAAAAAATGGTCATAAGTCACTTTTTTCCAGTGCGGTTGTAACTTTGAACGGTCACTAAAAAAATCCCTCTTGTATTACCTGCATTTAATGTTCGTGTCAATGAAAGATGATGAAATGGGCTTGAAGGAATTTTGCCTCAAGAGGCCTTTTGCTCCGAGCAAAATATTAGCAACCGATTCAAAGCTGATTGTTTTGTTTTAGCTTTGGTTCTGGATAACAGTGGAATGGTTTGCCATTTGCCTTCAGAAATCGTGGGTGCTCCATCACCGGAGATTTTTAAGAAGGGGCTAAACAGTCACTTATTTGAAATGGTATAGGCCAGGGGTGAAATCCAGCAGGTTCTGACAGGTTCTGGAGAACCGGTAGCAGAATCTTTGAGCAGTTAGGAGAACCGGCAGCGGAAATTTTGAGTAGTTTGGAGAACCGGCAAATGCCACCTCTGGCTGGTCCCAGAGTCGGGTGGGAATGGAGATTTTGCTATATCCTTCCCCCAGGAGTGGGGAGGGAATGGGAATTTTGCCGTATCCTTCCCCTGCCACACCTACTAAGCCATGCCCACAGAACCGGTAGTAAAAAAAATGTGGATTTCACCACTGGTATAGGTTCTCTTGGTTGAGCAGGGTCTTCCCTTCCAACTCCTATTCTATTTTCTATTATTTTCTATTTATTTTCTATTTTCTATTATTTTCCGTTTTCTATTATTTTCTATTTTCTATTATTTTCCGTTTTCTATTCTACTCTATTGATAAGAGAGGAAAAGTTGGTAATTTTCAAGCTTTCTAAGCCTCAGAGATTCTTTCCACATTGGGAAATTAAAACCTCTAGGTGTCTGCCATGATAGCCAGTATATCACAACGCTGAGATTTAGTTGCAAGATTTGATGTTTTTGTTAAAACGACCAAAGCAGCATGACACCATTATGGTGCCAGATATTGTCCTTTCTGTACTTGTGTGGGATATCATGATGCACACATGATGGATATCATGATGCATGCAGTCCTGGTCGCAATAGTTTGCCGATTGCCCACTCCCCATAGATGCAACTATGGCAAAACATTCTGGAAAATCTTTCTGGCCTTCTGATCAGCCAATTGGAGCCCCAACATTAGGACACATTTAGCAACACTGCCCTGTGGCCAAGCATCAAATGAAACAGTCTATGGAAGGTGATCCTTTTGGTCTGATGGGGCCTTCTGGAATTTTGAGAAGGTGTTGAGGGTGCTCTCAGAAAACGGCCACCAAGGAAGACGTAACCAGTTACAAAGTTGGAAGTGAACAGAAATATCCATCTGGTTTCATATTAGGAGCTCCAAACTACATAGGCCCACCCAATCCCAATTTTACCATTAAATCCTGGTTTAATAAATAAAATGTCTTATTGGGCAGGAAATGTGTCGGGGAGGAGGAGAAGGAGGAGAAGGAGAAGGAGAAGGAGAAAGAGGAGGAGGAGGAGAAGGAGAAGGAAGAGGAGGAGGAGAAGGAGGAGGAAGAGGAGAAGGAGGAGGAGGAGAAGAAAAAGGAGGAGGAGGAGGAGAATTTATGGGTACATTAGAACTTAAAGGCACCATATTGGGGATCCCAGAACAAAATGATGGCCTAATGGGATCTATCAGCCTTCCCAGTTCATCTAACTGGGGAAAGGGAGTCTACACACAGATTAAAGGTTTACCTTATCTTTCTTATCCAGCCACACATCTTCCAGATCTTCCACGATGAACTTCATCAACCTGAGATGACCCCTTTGGGCAGCACAGTGTAGGAGGTTGTGGCCATTCTGAAAAAAAAAAAAAAACGAGGATGAGGGATTCAAGATGTGAAAGAATAAATCAGCCACCTGCCCCATCTTGGTCTTCAAGTCCCAGATAACATCACTGTTTAAAGCTGGGACCTCTAAGCAGGAATGTCCTCCTAGGGAAAAGTCAGAAAAGTCAAGATGGAGGATATGATTGTAAGGTTGAGGCCCCTCCCATTTGGAATGCTGGTAAAAAGGAGGTGGGGCTTCAATTACGCAATTGCAGCAGACATTTTAACTTTTTAAAAAATCTCTCTGTCCCCCAGGGGTGAAATCCAGAAGGAAATTTTGAATAGTTTGGAGAACCGGCAAATACCACCTCTGGCTGGCCCCAGAGTGGGATGGGAATGGAGATTTTGCAATATCCTTCTCCCAGGAGTGGGGTGGAATGGAGATTTTGCAATATCCTTCCCCTGGAGTGGGATGGAAATGGGGATTTTGCAGTATCCTTCCCCTGGAATGCGGAGGGAATGGAGATTTTGCAATATCCTTCCCCCAGCAGTGGGGTGGGAATGGAGATTTTGCAATATCCTTCTCCTGGAGTGGGGAGGGAATGGAGATTTTGCAGTATCCTTCCCTGCCATGTTCACCAAGCCACACCCACCAAGCCACACCACGCCCACCAAGCCACGCCCACAGAACCAGTCGTAAAAAAATTTGAATTCCCCCACTGCTGCCCTCACCCCCATTTTGCTAAGGCCGCTCCCTCTAGAATCAGTTGCCCCTCTAATTTTATGGTCTTGTCTTAAAATAAGGGGAATTGAAAAATACTTTCCAAGATTGAGTTTTCAGAAGTGGAGATCGCGTATTTAGAAAGCAGCTGTCCATATATATATATTTTTAAATTAGTTCCTTCCCCCAAGTGTGAAATTTCACCATCTGCTGTCAAGCACATGAAAAGCTGTCATGAAAGAAGCGCTTTCTTTTTCTATGCTTTGCAACTGTCAGCTCATGTTTTATTCCTTCTGAGTTAGCAATGATTAAAACATGCGCAGGGTTGCATTTGCTGGCTCCGTACAGTTTTGGGGATGAAAACAATTCCTAGGCTTTCCCCTTAAGCAAACACTGCCGACATGCGTGTCTTGAATGCCCCAGCCCCCAAATTTTCTTCCCTGAAACTACCTTTAGAATAACTTCCTCATATTTCAGCTGGGTGTTGTCTCAAAGCTACTTGAATCAACCCAATCCATCTCCTATTGCTCTCTTTCGCTCAAAATGTAGAGTCATCTAAACCCCACCCTAAGCTGTGTTCAAAAGAACTCTGAAAACTTGGCTCTTTTCCCAGATCTTGGGTTGAGTTTGTGTTTGTGTTTGAGTTTGTCCTTGATTGTCTTTAATAGCTATTTTCCTTCTGGCATTTTGTTTTTTTTGGTACAATTGTTTTTATTTTAGGCTACCCGGAGAGATATGGAGGAGAATGGGTTTGGCTTTCTACACTTCTCAATAAATATAATATCGAGAAGCCACTATTGAGTCAGTTGTAAAAGCATCCAGATTTGGTCACCACATGATAAAAAAGATGTTGAGACTCTAGAAAGAGTGCGGAGGAGAGCAACCAGGATGTTTACAGGACTGGAGGGTAAAACATATGATGAACGGTTGCAGGAACTGGGCATGGCTAGTCTAGTGAAGAGAAGAGAAGGACCAGGGGAGACAGGATAGCATCTTCCAATATTTGAGGGGCTGCCACAGAGAGGAGGGGGTCAAGCTATTTTCTAAAGCACCCAAAGGCCAGACAAGGAATAATGGATGGAAACTGAACAAGGAGAGATTCAACCAAGGGTGAAATCCAGCAGGTCCCGACAGGTTCTGGAGAACTGGTAGCGGAAATTTTGAGCAGTTTGGAGAACCGGCAAATACCACCTCTGGCTGGCCCCAGAAATCGTGGGTGCTCCATCACTGGAGATTTTTAAGAAGAGACTAAACAGTCACTTATTTGAAATGGTATAGGTCAGGGGTGAAATCCAGCAGGTTCTGACAGGTTCTGGAGAACTGGTAGCAGAATTTTTGAGCAGTTCGGAGAACCGGCAGTGGAATTTTTGAGCAGTTCGGAGAACCAGCAAATGCCACCTGTGGCTGGTCCCAGAGTGGGGTGGGAATGGAGATTTTGCTGTATCCTTCCCCCAGGAGTGGGGTGGGAATGGGGATTTTGCAGTATCCTTCTCCTGCCATGCCCACCAAGCCACACCAGACCACGCCTACCAAGCCACGCCCACAGAACCAGTAGTAAAAAAAAAATAGATTTTAAAATTTAAAAATAATTGGATTCAACCTAGAAATAAGGAGAAAATTTCTGACAGTGAGAACAATCAACCCACGGAACAGAAGTTGCCTTCGGAAGTTGTGGGAGCTTTATCCCGGGAAGCTTTCAAGAAGAGACTGGACTGCCATCTGTCAGAAATGGTGTAGGGACTCCTGATTAGACAGGAGGTTGGACTAGATGACCTACAAGGTCCCTTCCAATCTGTTAATCTCTTAATCTGTTAAACAGACCTGGTTGAATATGGTGCATGGACTAAGCATGGTGTTTTCATATCCAGAAGACCCAATATATCCCCCCCCCGCAGATCTTGATGGCATAAGAGCCTGTTCCTAATTTTATTTATGCCACCATGACAAAATGTGCATTGTGTCCACACAAACTTGTTTCACCCTCTCATAATGTCACTGTCACGTTGCACAGAAGTATGCTAAGAAGGGAGTTTGCATCCCGATGTCGTGATTGCCTCCTTTGGATAGCCATGTTCTTGCATTCACTTCTTCCTATGGAGCCCCCAGATATGTCAGCGGAGGCCCCCAAGCCAGAAAAAAGAACTACCTTACCTTATTGACACAGTTGGTTTTAGCACCAGCGTTAACCAGGACCTGAAGGACACGTAAATGACCAAACCAGGCAGACAGAAGAAGTGCGCTCATCCCAAACTGGAAAACAGGAAGATGAGAAAAAGAAAATTAGAACATAGAATTATAGGGCTGGGAGAGACCTCAAAGATCTTCTAGTCCAGGGGTCGGTAACCTGCGGCTCTGGAGCCGCATGTGGCTCTTTCACCCCTCTGCTGCGGTTCCCTGTCGCCGGTAAGCTCCACAATTGATAGGGCTTTCAGTTAGGATAGGTAGAGGAAAAAGGACACCGCACTAGGAGGAGACACTATGGTGGGGGGAACCGGACTTCCAGTTGGCTCCAGAATTGAATGGGGGTGGGGGGTGCAGGGCTTCCGGTTAGGACCTTTGTGGCTCTTGGAGTGTTTAAGGTTGCCGACCCCTGTTCTAGTCCAACTCTCTGCTCAAGGCAGCAGACCTTATACCATCCTGGTTAAATGGTGGCTCTATCTATTTTTGGAAGCCTCTAGTGATAGAGAATCCACAGCTTCTAGAGGCAAACTGTTCCACTGATCCATTGTTCTTACTGTCAGGAATTTTCTCCTTAGTTTTAGGTTGGATCTTTCTTTAATAAGCTTCCACCTGTTACTTCTTTTTTTAAAAAAAAAATTATACATTTTTTCTTTAATTAACATACGTGCTTAGTAAAACAGTGTATTGTCTGAGTCAATTTGGTTATACAAAGTAATATTAATAATGATGATAATAATGGTAATTATAGTAATAATAATAATAATAGGTAAAGGTTCCCCTTGCACATATGTGCTAGTCATTCCCAACTCTAGGGGGCAGTGCTCATTTCCTTTTCAAAGTCGAAGAGCCAGCGCTGTCCAAAGCGCGTCTCCATGGTCATGTGGCCGGCATGACTAAATGCCAAAGGTGCACAGAATGCTCTTTCCCTTCCCACCAAAGGTGGTCCCTATTTTTCTATTTGCATTTTTTACCTGCTTTCGAACTGCTAGGTTGGCAGAAGCTGGGACAAGTCACGGGAGCTCACCCAGTTACGCGGCACTAGGGATTCGAACCGCTGAACTGCCGACCTTTCGATCGACAAGCTATTATTTACTTACATATAATATAATCTTTTATCATTTACTTATACATAGTAATACTCTTTTATCTTCTAATTTATCCCTCTCTTATCTAGCTACTGATAAAACAAATCCCATGTTAAAAATATTCTGTTTCTTCCTTATCCTTTATTTTTAATGTCAACCTATCCATCTCCGCACAATCTAATATCTTCCACCTGTTACTTCGTGTCTTGCCCTCCAGAGCTTTGGAGAATAAGTCCACCCCCTCTTCTCTGTGACAGCCCCTCAAGCACTGGAAAACAGCTATCATATGTCCCATCCCCCCACATCCTCCTCTTCAATAGGCTAGACATATCTAGTTCCCTCAACTATTTATCATTCGATTTAAACTTCAGACCCTATATCTGTGATGGCGAACCTATGGAATGCGTGCCAGAAGTGGCACACAGAGCCCTCTCTGTGGGCATGCGTGCTGTCGCCAGCTGCTCTTCTGGTTTCCGGTGCGCCAGCTGGTCTTCACGGGCACCGAAGCACTGGAAAACCACCTGAAAATTGCCAGAAAAATGGCCAAAAAACAGGCTGTTTTTTGAGCCATTTTCAGGCCATTTTCTGGCCGTTTTTGGACCATTTTCAGGGCCGTTTTCAGACCGTTTTTGGATGAAAAATGGCCTGAAAACGGCCCAAAAACCAGTCAAAAACCAGGCATGTGTGCACCAGCCAGCTGGTTTTCAGGTTTCCGATGCTCCGGCGCATGCACATCAGTGGTGGGTTGCCCTCGGTTTGGACCGGTTTGCAAGAACCGGTAGTAAAACTGGCGGGAGGCTCCACCCACCAACCCGGACTTTGTCAGGAAGCTTCTGCGCAGAAGTGTGTTCGGTCCCGTTGCAAACCAGTAGTAAAGGTAAGTAGAACCCACCCCTGATGCACATGCATGCATATCCACGCATGTTTCGGTTTGGGCACTCGGTGCCGAAAAGGTTCACCATCACTGCCCTATATCATCTTTGTTGCTTTTCAGCAACAAAACTGTATCTTGGCCAAAGAAGCAGAAAGTCAAATGATCTTGATTTCCAGAGAAACGTACAGTGTTAAAGAAATGCAAATGACAAGATAATCTCATTTTCCTCTACACCCAAAAAGTCAATAAAACAAGCTTTAGAAAGAAAGAGCATGAAAACAAGCCGACGGAGGATTAAAGTTCCGGCAGTTTTCCCCCCAAAAAAGGATTGCTTCAAAATAGTTATGATGTTAAAAATGTACTCTCCTAGCTTCTCAAACACTGAAAAATGTTTGAGAAGCTAGAAGAATTCTCTGTATTTAAATGACATTTTTTTGGTGAGAAGGAAAAGGGAAAAATAAATGTTTATTTCCCTCCTGTTTTTTCAGTGTGTACATCTTGCTTTCTTCGCTGTTCTGTCTCAACTCGACGTTCATTGGAGTGAAAGCAGGTGCTTCCACTTGGTGGAAGTTTTGATTACAACAAATCACTGCTCTTGGGAAAAAGACAATTTAATACAATCTGATGCCCTGTCTGGGAAATTCTATAATGCAGCAGTAAGTAATGAAAAATGAAGGAGGGGAAAAATAGTCCAGTGGTGAATAGTCTATTCCAAAAGTGCTTTTTCCAAAAGACAATTCAACTTTCTTAGGTTTTCTTTTTCTTTTTTTCTTTTCCTTTGAAAACATTTCTCTTCTCCTCCAAGAAGCTTCTTCAGTTCTAACTGACTGGTGGGGACTGGTGGGGAATTGTTTTCAAAGGAAAAGTCATGGTCGCCTTTGGGACAACCATGACTTGGACGATTGCGAATCTCCACAGATGAACAATCTATTGTTCTATCTGAATGGTCCAATGTTCTGTGAAGAATCTCGTTTCCCCCCCCCCAAATAAAGACCCTTCGGGACCCTTCGGGATTAAAGATGTGCAGTAAATTCAACTCAGTGCGAGCAAAGGCACCTGGATAGGAATGGAATGACTGAGCTGTGGTGGCGCAGTGGTTAGAGTGCAGTACTGCAGGCTACTTCTGCTGACTGCTGGCTGCCTGCAATTTCGCAGTTCGAATCTCACCAGGCTCAAGGTTGACTCAGCCTCCCATCCTTCCAAGATCAGTAAAATGAGGACCCAGATTGTTGGGGGCAAATATGCTGACTCTGTAAACCGCTTAGAGAGGGCTGCAAAGCACTGTAAAGCAGTATATAAGTCTAATTGCTATTGTGTGCCGTGTTGTTGTTGTTGTATAAAGGATGCAAATTACACAACATGCATCATTTTCACTCTAAGGCTGCTGTGGATATCGGCTAGTGCCGTGATGGCGAACCTATGGCACGCGTGCCCAAAGTGGCACAGGGAGCCATGTCGCCTGGCATGTGTGGCATCGCCAGTTCCTCTTCTGGATTTCTGGCGCACATGCACGAGCGATGATCAGCTAGCCTTTGTGCGTGTGGCAGTGCTGGAAACTGGAAGAGCTGGTCTTCCATTTTTTGGTGTGAGCATATTTTATTTATTTATTTATTTATTTATTAGATTTCTATACCGCCCTACTCCCGAAGGACTCAGGGCGGTGCACAGCCAAACAATAAAAACACATACAATACAAAATTTAAAAAATAGAATAAAATCAAATTAAATAATTTTGGCCCCGACAAATTTAAAACCCCAAACTTTTAAAACCAATTTAAAATTGAATATATAAATACTAAAAAATATTTAAAATTTTAAAAATCTTTTATAAAAGAGGGGGAAAATTAGGCCAGGCCCGCCTGGTGAAATAAAAAGGTCTTTAAGGCGCGGCGGAAGGTGCGCAGATCCGGGATCCTCTGTATCTCTGGGGGGAGCTCGTTCCAGATCGTAGGTGCCCCCACAGAGAAGGCTCTCCCCCTGGGGGCCGCCAGTCGGCATTGTTTGGCTGACGGCACCCGGAGGAGCCCCTCTCTATGGGAGCGTACCGGCCGGTGGGAGGCTATTGGTGGTAGTAGGCGGTCCCGCAAGTACCCGGGTCCTAAGCCATGGAGCGCTTTAAAGGTGGTAACCAAAACCTTGAAGCGCACCCGGAAGACCACCGGGAGCCAGTGCAGCTCGCGCAGGAGAGGTGTTACATGGGAACGCCATGTCGCTCCCATTACCACCCGCGCGGCCGCACTCTGCGCCAGTTGGAGCCTCCGGGTGCTCCTCAAGGGGAGCCCCATGTAGAGAGCGTTGCAATAGTCCAGGCGGGAGGTGACAAGGGCATGAGTGACCGTGCGTAAAGAGTCCCGATCCAGAAAGGGACGCAACTGGCGAATCAGGCGAACCTGATGAAAAATCCTCCCGGTCACGGCCGTCAAGTGCTCTTCTAAAGACAGCCGTGAATCCAGGAGGACGCCCAAGTTGCGAGCCCTCTCCGTGGGGGCCAATGATTCGCCCCCAATAGTCAGTGATGGCGTCAACTGACTATATCGGGACGTCGGAAACCACAGCCACTCAGTCTTGGATGGGTTGAGCCTGAGCCTGTTCCTCCCCATCCAGATCCGTACGGCCTCCAGGCACCGGGACATCACTTCAAGGGCATCGTTGGCCAGCTGATCATTGCACGCACATGTGCGCCAGTAGCCGGAAGATTAGCTGGCCAGCGCGCATGTGCATGCCAGAAACCGGAAGTTCATTTCCTGGTGCGCGCATGCCCCCTAGGCAGCTCCTCTCCCTGGTTGCGGCCCTGACGAGTGCCACTAGCCCATCACTGGGCTAGTGTGTTATAAGCAGACCCCCCTCTCCAAATAAAGGCATGTTAGTCATTACGTTCAAGCTAGTAAACCAAGCATGGAGAAAAGCTCACACTGTCTTCATCATTCACGCCGGCCTCATGTTCCAGGAGAAGGCGGACTGCCTGTTCATGGCCAGCTCCTGCGGCCCAGTGGAGAGCGGTCCTGTCTATCTGGAAAGAAAGAGAAATTAAGCAGGGGAGGAGAAGGGAGAGCCATTTCGTTCCCCTTGTTTGTCTCTGCCATGGTTGCGCAGGTCTAAAGTCACCTGCATTATTTTCTGCATTAGTTTAGTCTTTCTGTCAATAGGCACACTCCTGTTTAAAATGTTTTTCTATCTTCTTTTCCTTGTCTTATTTTTCCCCCCCAAATCCAGTTTTAAATCCTGAGATGAAAACCCAGATCTTGTAAATGCACGGGAAGACATTTTTACAACCACACTTACATTCCACTTGTTTGTGGGGTAGGACTCAGGGGTGAAATCCAGCAGGTTCTGACAGGTTCTGGAGAACCAGTAGCGGAAATTTTGAGTAGTTCGGAGAACTGGCAAATACCACCTCTGGCTGGCCCCAGAGTGGGGTGGGAATGGAGATTTTGCAATATCCTTCCCCCAAGAATGGGGAGGGAATGGAGATGTTGCAGTATCCTTTCCCTGGAGTGAGGTGGGAATGGAGATTTTGCAATATCCTTCCCCCAGGAGTGGGGAGGGAATGGGGATTTTGCAGTATCCTTCCCCTGCCACACCCACCAAGCCACACCCACAAAACCGGTAGGGGAAAATTTTGCATTTCACCCCTGGTAGGACTGCTTTGGAAAGGAAAAAGTACAACTTGTCCTCCAAGCTATAGAGTTACCCTCGCTATTTCCTGAATCTAGCATTGGTTACCAGATCCTGGCACTTTATTATCAATTAACCAGTGGAACAGAAGTTGCCTTCAGAAGTTGTGGGTGCTTCATCACTGGAGGTTTTTAAGAAGACAGATAGACAGCCACCTATCTGAAACGGTATACGGTCTCCTGCTTGAGCAGGGGGCTGGACTAGAAGACCCCTTAAGGTCCCTTCCAGCTCTATTCTGATTGATTGAAACACCTGGGATAGGAGACCAGCAATCTCTCAATAGAATTTGTCTCCTCCGTTTATTCTTCCCGTCTCTTTTTCCATGCCATCCCAATTTGCCAAAGTGCATTCCACAAGTCACCCGAAGCATCACGCTTCGGGATTTAAATTTCGAGAAACAGGGAGATGGAGAGGTACAAATCTTTGCCCAATGAATGACCCCGTTCTATACCTCCCGCACCCAGTGAAATACCCACGTTATTCTTCGCTTTGACGTCAACCCCTCTCTTGATCAGCTCGACCATGGACGCCGTGTCGTTTCGTTTGGCTGCGTCGTGGAACAACTTCTCCGAAAGGAGCACTTGGAGGGAAGGAAAGGGCTTGTTAAAGATGGTTAATAAAATGAAAACAGCCGTAGGGATTCATAGAGCCTTGGTAGTACAGTGGTTTAATGCACCCTGTAATTAACACAGCTGCCTGCAATTTCCGCAGGTTCGAATCTTACCAGGCTCAAGGTTGACTCAGCCTTCCATCCTTTCTAAGGTAGGTGAAATGAGGACCCAGTTTGTGGGGGCAATAAGCTGACTTTGTATAAAATATACAAAAATATGAAGGCTATTGCTTAACGCATTGTAAGCCGCCCTGAGTCTCCGGAGAAGGGCAGCATATAAATCAAATAAATAAATAAATAAATAAATAAATAAATAAATTTAACCATCGTGGGAAGAAAGGTGGTAATAATTGGGCAAAACTCTCTCTAACAATTGTCTGGCTTAGGAACGGAAATTTTGAGTTCAATTCTGGTTGTAAGTTGAGGATTCCCTGCATATCATGGCCATTCTGTGGTTTTACCCAGTTCCTCAGGTCTCCTGCTTGAGCCGAGGTTGGACTAGAAGATCCAACTCCATGGTCCCTTCCAACTCTTATTATTCTGTTATTCAAATTCTGGGCGGGGTGGAGGGGTTTGCATGCAGACCAGAAGGTCAACACAAGATCCCTTTCAATCTTCATTCATCACAACCGCCTTACTTAGCCCAGTAATTCTGGCCCCAATTCTAGGAATAAAAATCCAGGACTACCAAGGTTGATGTCAGCACTTCAAGCTGCATTTACTCTAGTGCTGACATAAGAAGGAGAAGCGGAGGCATCTGGAAAGGGACGTTTGACTTTTCACCTGCTTATTTTCCCTGGAGATAATATCCCCTAGGAGATGGGATGGGAGGGGGGAAATTCCTTTGAGCTGGAGCGGTAGATTAGGGGTAGAATGACTTGGAAAATGGCCAATGAATGCGGGGGAGTGGGGAACGGAAAGGGGGGATTTTGGGTCTGGAAGTCAGTGTTGGCTGCGATGTAGTCGGAGTTAGAATGTCGTGCTTAATAAATAAAGAAGAGTTTTTCTTCAAAGACTTTGTTTGAAATGCAATTTATTTGAGACGACCTCGAAACCTGACAGTTGGTGTTTTCTCTGCTGCTTTCAGAGGAGGGGAGGGTGCAGCATAGAAGGAAAAATAAAATAAAATTACAAAAGCTCTCCCGTAGCTTATTTTTTCTCTTTACGCCCCACCTTGGAAACACTCCCTCAATAGTCCTTCTATTGTTTTACTGCATTTGAAAAAGGTCATGAAGCATGATCAGGAAATAAATGCAGAAATATGACCTACTGTGTATTGTAAATCCTCTCCCTTTCTAGGTCGTAATTTGTGGAGAAAGAACTGTTTATATGACTCATTGCTGAGTACAGTGGAACAGCACTGTAATAAGTCACATTAAGGGACGTACAAATGGGCTGTGTGTTTCTTTGTTTTGTTGTGACTAGCCCACCAGCCTGCCGTTCTAAGTCACTCCGAGACACTTTGAATAGTGAGACGGGTGGCATACAGATAGTCCCCGATTTACGACCACAACTGCCCCCCCCAATTTTTACGACCGTTCTTGCCACAGTTGTTAAGTGAATCACTGCAGTTGTGAACTTAGTCCCATGGTTGTTAAGTGAAACTGGGTTTGTTGTCAGAAGGTCGCAAAAACGGATCACGTGACCCTTGGACACTGAGACCGTCATAAATACGAGTCAGTTGCCAAGCGTCTGAATTTTGATCACGTGACCACAGGGATGCTGCAATGGTCGTAAGTGTGAAAAATAGTCACTTTTTTTTTAATGCTGCTACGACTTCATAAGCCGAGGACTACCTGTATAAATGTAATAATATAACGTAATAAATAAATAAATAAAATCTGAAACATTCTTGTACGATCAGGATATAAATCTACAACAACCCCCTCTTAACTTTTCTCCTCCTCCTCCCTCTCCCTAAACCAGGGGTCAGCAACCTGTGGCTCTGGAGCCGCATGTGGCTCTTTCACCTCTCTGCTGTGGCTCCTTGTCACTCAAAATATGCGTCACAACCGCCAATGTACGACACCCGCCGGCACGCAATTTATTGAGCTTTTCAACCCCCGGTAGGCTAACCATGGATAAATCCAAGAAAAGAAAAGTTTCAGAAGAAAACAGAATATTTAATACAACTACATAGGCTAGTTTTATGGCCGCTCAAGAAATAGTCAGGCACTGGAAGGGTTTTGTGGCTCCCGGTGTTTTCTTTTCTGTGGGAAACGGGTCCAAATGGCTCTTTGAGTGTTTAAAGTTGCAGACCCCTGCCTTAAACCAACTGCAACCACAACACCTAGAATCACTCCTCTGGTGAGATTGGCAGTCATCTCAATTGCTGATATCAAACAAATAAGAAAGTGAGAAGGTAAAAAAAAAAAAAAAGAGAGAGAGAGAGAGAGAGAGAGAGAGAGAGAGAGAGAGAGAGAGAGAGAGAGAGAGAGAGAGAGAGAGAGGGAGGGAGGAAGTATATTTTAACTCATCCAATGGGTTTAGCTTGTTAGTTCAGCCCCTGTGATTTGAAAATGAAACATCTGGCTTAAAGTTTGCAAACCGGACAGTTGTGCCATACAGCAGGGGTCTCCAACCTTGGCAACTTTAAGCCTGGCGAACTTCAACTCCCAGAATTCCCCAGCCAGCAATTTGCCAAGGATGGAGACCCCTGCCCTACAGGGCAAAGGGACAAGCCATTCATACCAGCCTCTAAACCAGTGTTTCTCAACCTTGGAAGCTTGAAGATGGGGGGACTTCAACTCCCAGAATCCCCCAGCCAGCACCGCTGGCTGGGGGATTCTGAGAGTTGAAGTCCCCCCATCTTCAAGCTACCAAGGTTGAGAAACACTGCTCTAAACATTGCCAATATGATTCCACTCCCCAACCCATCCACCCCGGGTCATAATTTTCTATCCGTTGAAGTCAATGGCTTGATAACACAGGGCGGGGAGTTGCAAGAGCGGTGGGGGGTGGGACCCCAAATTCTCAAATTATTACCCACCATCCTAGAAACCAAGGAGTTTCTGCAGACCCTTGTAGGCTTTTGACCCTGAATTAAAGCGGTTGGGGGCTGAAGATCTGGGCGGTTGTGCTGGAACCCAGCGGGGATCTGGTTGCCTGACTAGCTAGGTGGCTCGGTGGCTAAGAGACTGAGCTCGTCGATCAGAACAGGTCGGCAGTTCGGCGGTTCGAATCCCTGGTACAGGTTCTCCTGCGTGAGCAGGGGGGTTGGACTAGATGACCTCCAAGGTCCCTTCCAATTCTGTTCCTGTTACTGGTCGCTGCTTCGGGCCACCCACCACCCTTCCCTCCGGCTCTTGCCCCACCAATGCCTCTTGGAAGGGACACCTTTCACCTCCCTCTCTCTCTTCCCCAGCCAGGGGCAGGGACGGTTTGCAGGGACCCCCTTCCTCCTTCCCCTTCCCCACGCGCGCCTTTCCCTCGCCCCATCCTCACGCGTGTCCTCCTCGGAAGCCAAGTCGTCCTCCATGCCGCCGGCAAGCTCACCGCCCGAGCATCCCCGTCGTTCCAGGGGACGCCCCTTCGAGGCGGACGCGGCCGGAGCCGGGTTAGGCACGCGCTTGGTCCGCCCGGGCTTGCGGCTGCGGCTCCGGCCTCCTCCGTCCCTCCGTCCCCAGCCGGAGCCGGGCTAAAAATAGCCTGCTTAAGCGTCGCCCAGAAAAGGGAGGCGATGGGGGCGGGGGGGGGCGGGGGCGCCGAGGACGAGGCTGCACGCGGCCGCGCTCCACGCGCGCTCCCGTGGCCGCGCCCGCGCCCGGGCGGGCGGCACCCGCCTAGCTCGAATGGGGCGTCTTGTGGCCGAGGGACCCGACGGGCTAGTAGGGAAGGGCAGGAAGGTGAACACGGCTGTGTTTGTTTTTTTTCGCTGCAGCGATTTCTCCGCCGAGTCTTCCCACAAATTAGATATAGTGCATGATATAATATTATTTCTTTCCCTTTCTCTTTCTCTTTCCCTACCCTTCCTCTTCCCTTCGCCTTTTCTTCCCTTTGCCTTTCCGTTTCCACTATCCCTTCCCGTTCCTGTTCGCCTTTCCCTCCGTTCCATCCCCTTCCCCTATCCTTCCCTTTGCCTCTCCCCCTTCCCCTATCCTTCCCTTCTCTTCCCCTACCCTTCCCCTCCCTTCCCTTCTCTCCCTCTTCCCTTTCCCTTTCCTTCTCCTTCCCCTTCCTTTCCCTTCCTTCTCTTCCCCTACCCTTTCCCTTCCCTTCCCCTTCCCTTTCCCTAGCCTTCCCTTTCCTCTTTCCTTCCCCTTCCCCTTCCCTTCCCCTAACCTTTCCTCTTTCCTTCCCCTTCCCCTTTCCTCCGGTTCCATTCGTTTCCCCTAGCCTTTCCCTTTCCCTTTTCTCTTCTCTTCCCCTTCCCTTTGTCTTGAAAGAGACCCAAGATAACGTTAATCAGGTTAAAAGACACCCAGAGGGCTCACCCCGACTTCTCTCTTCGCCCTCAGCTTTGAACTGAACCTTGCACGGGTTGATTTTGAAACCGGAACGAACAATGTTCCTGGGCTGAAAGTTGCAGGGAGAATATCTTTATGCATCCTAGAGGGGGCGAATAGATTAATTTGATCTTCCTTTTGGACACCGTGCACATTGCTGCATCCTTCGTTGTTACAGACGTGCTAATTTAATTGTACCGTTGGAAGAGCTGAAGGACCAAGTTAAGGGGCAGATCACCTTGGAGAAAATTTATCTGTGTGGTGGCTAAGAGGAGTAGATTGGACAGATTAACTTATTTTTATTTTTTTTTATTTTTTTATTTTTAATTTGATTTATATGCTGCCCTTCTCCGGAGACTCAGGGCGGCTTACAATGCGCTAAGCAATAGCCTTCATACTTTTGTATATTTATACAAAGTCAGCTTATTGCCCCCACAAACTGGGTCCTCATTTCACTTACCTTAGAAAGGATGGAAGGCTGAGTCAACCTTGAGCCTTGGAGAGATTCGAACCAGCAGTAATTGCAGGCAGCTGTGTTAATAACAGGGTGCTTAGACCACTGTACTATCAAGGCTCTTAACGACGTGTAATCATTACTCATCAAATGCAATTGTATTTATATCGTTGTTGATTCTTTGATTCTGCTCCTGCGTGAAGTCCCTCGACTCAGCTCGTTTCTTTCCAACTCAAGGAAAACTTCGGCGTGGCCATTTCCTTTGCTGTTCCGGATTCCCGCCGGGCCCCCCAGTTAGGCCTTGCGCTCTCCAG